AAAAGAAAGAAAGAAAGAAAGGGGCGGGCACAGGCAAGGAAGATAAACAAGCCATGATAATGCAACCTTTGATGCTGGGAGAGGTTGAGTGCTCAACAATCTCGAACGAGCAAGACCATGTTGGCTCCAGTCGGTAACAATGAGGATGCATGTTGCAAAGCTGCAGCAAACCTCCGACGGCACTATTCAAGAACTGCCATTCAACCCCGACAGAGTCGTGCAGGATCATTGGATTTTGCAGGGTAAAGCAATCCGCCATCCAATCATGATTCATACAGGCAAGATTAACACTTGATCCGTCCAAAAGTCAATGATCATCTAGAAGCAGTTGTCATCGAACAGCTCACCATAGCCGTCAATGGTTGACCACCACGACGGTTAGACCTCCTGAGAGAAGAAAAACGATCATTGGATGAGTTCCATGTTTCGGAAACAAAAACAATAATCATAAATCAACAATTTAAAAATAGGTATATACGAGGTATTAAAGCAACCGAGCAGCAACAAGGCCTGTCTGAGTAATGGACTTGGGTACATACATACATGTCTTGTGCTTCTTCGGGAGTGTGTACAGTACGATACGTAGTACCGAATACTGTACTCTGTACGAGTAACTTACCACCACAAACCCTAGAGAATGCGAACAACTAGAATAGACCAAAGGGATGTACCGGGACTAAAGTCTGGCTTATATATGAAAAATAGTAGGTTTTAAATTATCATATCAACAGTCTCGTGACGGTAGATCATTCTTGCAAGGTTCCAAAAAGAAGAAAAGAGAGAAGAGGAGTGGCCAGGCTGGAAATGATGAACATCCATCGGCCAAGGGCTCCAACACCGTATTTCCAAAACGAGACGAGTCACTGACTCCCCGCTTCCTCAGGCACGCTCAGCTGTCCCAGCCGCCCACGCTTGGTTTCTCTTCCCCTCTCGCCCGCCTCCCACTTTGTTCCTCTTTCGTTACTGTTGTCGTCTTGCGCGTTCACGCTATATGTACAACAATATATTTTTACCTTCGTTACTGGCATTTGAAAAGCCATTTCCTTGCTGTTCACTCGTTCTTATCTTTATCAGCCCGTCGCTCTCGAATCGAGAGCGTAGGGTTTAGGTGTATAACAGGTACCTCCCGTTTCCCAAACCTTTGGTTCTTACGCCACTGATCGAGATCTCCGCATCGTTAGGAGCGCACCGTTGGGTGTACAAACCTACCCCGGACCTCCTTATAAACAATCCTTACTTGCGGCCTTGAGCAAATATTCAACTGCAAGCTCTATTTTCACGCTTGGAACTTAAACTCTCGAGGCGTTCATTGTGTGTGAGTTGCTGTTCCGAGATCTTCTCCGCTGAATCACCCCTCAGCCCCTCTCCAACTCCTTACATCGCACGCTATCTAAGAAAACACACCGCCAACCGGCACACACTGCCTGGTCCCTGTGCCTCAATTAAAGCCCCCAGGTGTACTCGACACTGCTTCTTGAGAGTTGATAACTCCATAAACAGCCCGCTTCATTCAACTCAATACCATGCTGTGACTGCTTCTCTAACTTGTCTAGGCCCCTGAATGGTATTAGTCCAGTGATCTCCGTCTCATAGTGGCCGCCATCATGGCCTTCAAGAACGGACTTAGTGAACGCCTCGATGAGCTGCGATTTCCCTCTCCGCGATCCCCTACCTCAGAGTCACCGTTTCCCGGATACAATTCGATCTCCCCAGGCCACTCGAACCTCGCGTCAGCTTTTTCGCGGCCCTCAGGTGATGTCCGTGCCAATCTTCAGCGTCGTTTCACCACAGACTCCAGCAAGCTTTCGTCTTGGAGCTATCTGAATCATGCTGGAAATGCGCCTCATATGCCAGATCCCTTGGATCTATTGTCATCGGTAAGCTTTCTCCGTTTGACCAGTTGTCCTATCTTCCACCCAGCGACGTCTCAGTTGCCGAGCTCTTCTGGTGACATGGAGGTGTGGTTCAAGTCGGATTGTAGTTGTTTCAGCCTAAGTTCAATGCTGCTGCCTGTTGGCAACTTCGTGGATGTGGCACTTTATTCTCACTTCAGGCCTAGAATGTCCCCACACTGTACCTAACTCCTGTTGATCTTCACTTTTCCTATCACCTCAAAAGTTTCACAGATCACAATCTTCCGTGTCACAAGAGCCTTGCCATAACTCCTGGCCGCCCCTCTATTTATTTCGCTTTCTCATTCACCTCTCTGTGTTTGGTTGTTTCTAATACTTTCCCAGTTTGAAAAGAAGCGTCAGCACATCGAGTATATGCGGGAGCAAAAGAGGAGGTTTGAAGAAGATATGAAGCTACTAGACATGCAGCATGAGAAAGAGAAGTTAGAGATGGACCGAATTGCAAAGGACCTTGCCAAAGCTGGCATATCTGGCCCTGTCAGTGAGCCTACGACCCCTCCTGAGTATCGTGAAAACAGCTTCTCAAGTGGGTTCACACGACCTACTCGCTTCTCAACTTCATCTGTCACCTCATCCCCTGGTTTCTTTAATGTATTTGCCCCTTCTCAGGCAGCAACTCCGCAGGGCCAGGTGAATCCCGCCTCTGCACAAACCCCTACCAATCGGTTCTCGGTGCATTCTGTTCCTGGTTCTCGCAGAAACTCTGAGAAAGAAGATTTCAGTCAAGAGCCTACATCCCCTTTCCGTCCTGGACCTGCGTAAGTTCTCCCTCTCTCAAGTCATATTGATCACTGTGAATCGAGTTTGGTGTAATATGGTGTCTTTGTGTTTCACTCTGTACCAAACATCATGGTCTCGGCGTCGTGGCTGCGCTGCCTGTGAAGGAACACAACAGTTCACTTCGTTGCCTGACCTTCCCTTCACATTTGGTTATTTTGATGTGACCTTCTGTTTACTTTTCCATGATATTTGCTATTCATACCTGTTTTGTTCCCTTTCATGGTATCTCGAGCTACAAGTTACTGACTCACTTTGTTTTAGTATCCATCGTTATTCAATGCCATCTGCAGGTTTTGGATCCCAGCTCCGCCCAAACATCTCTGGCTTTAATAACGCCTCTGGATTGGAGTCGTTTAACACTGCTAAGTATCTGTTCCACAACGAGGACGATAGAGCGACTTTGAAGGAGGAAGATCGAATTCCAACTCCTGACATCAAGAGTTATCTCAAGTTGACAGACCCCGACGACAAGTTCCCTACATTGTCACGTAGGGACGACTCAGGATTGGTAGGTCATTGTTATTTATTCCTACATCGAATTCAACCCCGTTAACAGGAAGACCAGCTATCTGCAAACTCGGATGCCTTAGACCTGGCCAATTCTCGCACTCCAAACCCGGAAACCTGGAACTCTCATAGCCGGCATCGCTCTTCTCATCAAAGCATGCCACAAAACGCTCTAAACATGTTCCGGCTCGAGCAGCTGGGAAGCCCGACTAGCGAGAGTCATTCTAACACACCTCGACACACTGCTCGTCACTCACTTGAGGCAAACCTTCTTTACAGTGCTGAGGGGAACCATGAAGGTATGACTGCAACCTCGTCAAACCGTCCAACCTCTCTGCAGTCATCATACTCTACAAATGACCTCCCTACTGTAAAGGGTGATGGATTTAACCCTGCCATCACGCCACCAAAGACTCATGCGGAACATTTCCAGCAACACAATGCCAACATGGGCCGAATTCCTGCAAATGCTGTCAACACCCGCCAGCAGAAGGACTCGCCAGACCGCGATGACCCAAACATGCAGGGACCCCGGTCTCAGCAGACCACCCTACAGCCCAATGCAACACCCTTTGGGCCACAACTTAGTTCGGCTGCCAGCACCAGCACTGCTGCCCCGGCTTCTTTGGCCACTTTCCAGCAGCCATTTTATGGTTACGGCGTCCAGCCTTACATGGGGAATCCCCTCCCGGTAAACGGACAACTTCAGAACTATACTCCTGGCGCTTCTTACGGCGCATTTCCCGGCTACGGCAATTACCGTATAGCTGAGGGTCCAGCAAAGGCTATGGGATCTCGCCGCAGCAACGGTGAAGCGGAGTCCGCCCAGCTATCTCGCTTCACTAATTTTCCATTGGAGCACTATCGTGGTGAGCTATATGGCCTCTGTAAAGACCAGCATGGGTGCAGGTACTTGCAGCGGAAGTTAGAGGAGCGCAACCCGGACCACGTCCAGATGATCTTTGATGAGACGCATGTGCATGTTGTGGAGCTAATGACCGGTTCGTAACCTTTTAACCAATTTTATCGATGTGGCCGTTCTAACTTTTCTATACACAGATCCTTTTGGTAATTATCTTTGCCAGAAGTTGCTTGAGTACTCCAATGATGAACAGCGTACTGCGCTGATCAACAACGCCGCGCACCAACTTGTGAAAATCGCACTGAATCAACATGGTACTAGGGCTTTACAGAAGATGATCGAGTTCATATCAACTTCTGAACAGACTCAAACCGTGATCCACGCTTTGGAAGATCACGTTGTGGAACTGGTTCAAGATTTGAATGGCAATCATGTCATTCAGAAGTGCCTGAATCGCCTCTCTGCTGAAGACGCCCAATTCATCTATGATGCTGTGGGTGCTAATTGTGTTGTGGTCGGTACTCACCGCCATGGATGTTGCGTTCTTCAGCGCTGCATTGATCATGCTTCTGGTGACCAGAGGGCTCGTCTAATCGCCCAGATCACCTCCAATGCGTTTGCCTTGGTTCAAGATCCTTTTGGAAACTACGTGGTGCAGTACATTTTGGATCTGGCCGAGCCCCATTTCACCGAACCCCTTTGTCAGACGTTCCGTGGAAATATCCCCGCCTTGTCAAAGCAGAAGTTTAGCTCCAACGTTATCGAAAAATGTCTCCGCACGGCCGACGGCCCGGTTCGAGGCAAACTCATCGAGGAGATGCTCTCAGGCTGTGAGCTGGAGAAAATGCTCCGAGATTCCTTCGCTAACTATGTTGTGCAAACTGCCATGGACTTCGCGGACAGTGAGACCCGAACCCGCCTGGTCGATGCGATTAGACCAATCTTGCCTTCAATCCGTCAAACACCTCACGGTCGTCGCATTGCTGGCAAGATGATGGCAGCAGAGGGTTCCGGGAGGGGAAGTGCTACAACTAGCGGACAAGTCACTCCGAACGAGATGAATTCGGCTCAGCTTCCTGGGCCTCTGCAAGGTAACCAGAAGCCTTTCTTGTATCAACATCCCTCTTTTCCCATAGGTAGTGCCCAGTTTGGTGTTGGCTCTACGACCAATACTCCGTCCGGGGGACCAAATGAAAACCCCTCTGGGATTTTCACTCCTCCAGTCCAGCACTCGAACGGCAATCTAAGTGCTCAAGGTCAGCTGTATGCATACTTTTAAGCTGGTGTGAAATATCTTGGATTCGCTACCTACCCATTGAACTGTACTCATATTTGAAATGATGATACGATCTCTATGACTTACGGCCATCTTGACATATGTCAACGAATTGGGAACCTGAAACATTGATACCACGACAGATCTTTTATCTTTATGCAACTTGCATTGCATCTTTGGATTCTTGACGATACCATGCAGTCTGATAAAAGATTCTACCTGCATTGATGTCCTGTATTCTTTCAAGGCGTTAAATGCTCATGTTTATCACATCTTTTGACGAATATACCTGCCACGTCTATTTCTTCCTTGTCGTTTCCACCTACTAACCCAGCTCTTCAACTTTAGGTTGAGCGAAGGTTGAACTGTTTCATACATGTTTTTTTTTTCTTCTGTTCTTGCTCAGGATATTTTCATTTATTTTCCTTCCTTATCAGACAACGCTGAACTGTGTTTTTATCTTTTTTCTCGTCTCTTTAACGTTACTTGGAATGCTCTGTTTTGTTGTTCACTTCAGTCGTCATTGTGGCCATCTTGACTCCGATTGGAACAGTGGGCTGTCATATGAAAGTTATCTATGATAAGTACTGTATGCTCTCTTGGTACTGTGGCATGGCGCCTATGTTACTTCTTATCTGTGTTTTACACATACTGGCGACGATTGCTGCATGATTCATGACTCATTGGAAGCTTGTCCCAACAGCATTCGGTAGATAGATGTACCCATACGTTAGCAATTAAGGTGTTACTGTACTGATCTCCGGCGGTATCTGAATTTATATGAAAATTAACCATGAGAGCGTTGTCTAGAAGCAATTCCAATCATGGGAGTTACTATACAGACACACGCACGTGACTTCGCATGTGAAGCGCGACGATAAGATCTCCGGTGTTTTATCTCCGCGCGATGAGCTTGTTCTGTCCCTGACGCTCTCTGTAAATGAGACCCTTCCAGGTGTACCATCTAAAAGCACCTGATGCTTCCGATAGAGATTCCTCGATCACTGAGCCAAAATTGGCCATGTCGAGAGCTTCAAACCAGACAACTTGCCAGCCTGCTTGGGGTACGTTTCACTTGGCCTGCCCACCTCCCAAAGCGCATCCTTGAGGACGTGTTACTAACAGTCAACTTCTCACCTTGCTTAGCCTCTCGGTCCTAGCCCTGCGACGTTAGTTGTGCATGGCATATCTGCGACGTGCAAGTCGACCCTCGTTCGCGCCGTTCTTTCCGCCCTCGAAGTTCCACACGCCATTGTCCGAAGCACGGAATGCATAACAGGCCGCCATCTGCTGACAAAGATACTGTGGGCAACATTAGAAGCATTAGGGAAACGGGATGAGTGGGAGAAATATGGCAAAGGAAGGTGTGAGCATGTCAGTACGCTCGCTGTTCTTCTAAGTGAATGTTTGGCATCAAGGTCTGGCGAGGGAGCTGAGAAGTTCGTGCTTGTTTTGGATGGGATCGATAAGCAGCGAGAGGCACCACAGACTCTGTTGTCTGCGCTAGCGAGGCTCGGAGAAATAGTGAGTTGCTACTTCGATATTTGGAGCAACGATTGCTGACTGAAAGTCGAACAGATCCCCAGTCTCTCGGTTGTTTTGATTCTCAGCGCTACTCCACGACCACTGTTCTTGCAGGCTGCAGGTGTCCCGCACATCAGTTTTCCTCCATATACGCGCAACGAAGCAATTGCCATTATCTTGAACTCACGACCACCTACAATAGCCGGCCTCTCTGATGAGATACCACTTAAGATATACCCCCATTTCGTTTCGGCCATCTATGACTCCCTAGTTGGGCCTACAGCCAGTTCTATTCCCACTTTTCGGTCGATATGCGAGAAACTCTGGCCCCAGTTCATGTCTCCTATCACAAACGGCGAGACCCCGCCCGGAGGCAGTGAAGAATGGGACTTCTCTCGGCTTCTTCTTAAAAATCGTGGTCTCTTCCGGCATCACGGCGAAGCGGCGCTTGTGCATCATATCGTCACCGAGGAGCCGGCATCATTTGGCAATGGCTCAGTCTCGAAGCCCATGCTATCATCTGTGGCTACGCCGTCACCCCTTCCCTCTCTACCTTATTTCCCGACCTTGATTCTAACGTCTGCCTACTTGGCCTCCCACATCCCCCAACGACTCGATACCATCTTTTTCTCCAAGTTTTCATCATCTTCTCTGTCAGCACGCAACAAGCGTGCCCATCATCGACGACGACTGAAGCTCTTATCTAAAGCTCAGGCGGAGGATGCTCGAACTGTCAGCAATGATCCCTCCACCCCAAGCAAAAAGGGCAAGAGGCAAAAGACTCGCATCACAAAATCGACCCTGGAGTCAGCTTTTGCCACTTCTTCCGCCACAACCTCTGCTGCTGGGGCCACCGGCATCACTGGTCCATCCACCATTCTCACAGCCCGTCCATTCCCCTTGGAGAGATTAATGGCTATCTACCACGCTATTGATCCCAACCCACCGGCAAATCCCGTCCTTCAAGCAGCAGTTTCCGATGCAATATATGCGGAACTTGCCACGCTACGTCGACTACGGCTTGTTGTCCCTGCAGCAGGTCGCGAAAGTGGTGGTCGCATGGGATTGGGGTCAGGCGGGTTGAATAGCGGAAACACCACATCCGATGCCGGTGAAAAGTGGTGTGTCAATGTCTCTGGCGACTGGATCGGGGAAATGGCCAAGGGTATCGGGGTTGAAGTTGGTGAATGGTTAGCAGGAGGCTTGGATTAGGTGGTTCTCAGTGCAATGTAATAAATTTTGTAATTCAGATATGTAACATCATCCATTAGCATGCAATCATGGCTTGCATTCGTGAAATATATATATCCCTTCACCAAATCCATTCATCCACCGTATCTTTTGCACACACCAATATACTTGGAGTTTGTGGCCCATGCAAAGATCCATTCCCCGACTCAAAGCAAACTGAAGAGATGGAATGATCGTACTGGTATTTCGACAGAGGTGAAGAAACCTGCTCGCCGGTTCGAAGTGAAAACAGCTGAATCTTGCGCTCATCGGACGCTGTGAATGACGAATCCGGCAGTCAGTGACCTCCGCTAGAAGGGCAAGGAGGATATGAGACTAACCACTTGCTAGGAGACCCAGCTCAGGGCTGATATCAAAGTCGGGTATAACCTCGGGTGAATAATCTGAAAAACTGAGGTACGGTTTGGTCGAGGTGTGGTGTTTGCTATTGGGATTCGGGTTGCGTTGAAGGCCATTAGCTGGGTAGCGGATGTCGTACATTTTCAGCTGCTCTTGTGTCAGTTGCTCTCCAGGTATAGCTGTCCTACCTCAATCCGCAGACACGTAGATATGCACAGGGAGAAGTCGATAAGACGGGGGGCATACTGAGTTTATTCCGGCCACAACCATGCGATATGGATCAACACTTTTGATTTTAGTGACGGCATGCGAATGCTGGAGTCTCGTTGCCGTTCCGGCACTGCGAAGGTCATGGAGGAATATTGCCGAGTCTTTGAGTCCCGCGGCGATGACTTGGGCGGAGAGCCATTCCACGCTGGTAACAAGGGCGTGGGAGGAATCTATCCGTCGATGGAGGATTGGTTTTCCCGTGTATACATCACTGGCAAATGATTTCTTTGATAGGGCCCAATAGCTTCCGAAGCCTTCCAATGTATGGAGCCCGTCGGAGGTGCCGATCGCGAAAAAGGGCATAGTGCCTACGGGGCAGGGTGCGGAGCACCATAGCGATGATGCCATGCGGAGGCGGACAGGGTGGGAAACTGTTTTCAATGTTCGTCAGTTTGGTTCTCGTTACGCTATGTTTTAGGGGAGAAACGTACAGCTTGGAGGCCAGCGGTAATCGCCACCCTCGTCAGGATCGGGAAGCATTCGTGGTGCGAGGAATGAGTCGCCGTCTGGACCGCTATCCATTGTCGCTCTGATGCGGTCAGCCATAGTGACCAGGACTTTGGTTGAGTGGGTTTACCCTACAGTAAGTATCCAGTATGGCTTAACGAGATGGAAGACAGCTGGAGCATAGCACATCAGTGTCTATCTAGCGATTATAATCTTCGAAGAGTGAGCAACATACCCTATAGGGTTCTTTGAAGAGTACCCGTTCCATGGTCCGATTGTAAGTCCAGTTTTCCTGATCGCAGTCTGGGAAGCATATTCTGGTGGCGGTTAGCAATTTGAAAGCCAGCCGCCACGCACCGAAAGGCTTCGCTCACGAAACAGAAGATTCACCACCGCGATGGCCACCTTGAAGCAATTAGCAACCGAGGGAGTAGCACGACACAATAATCAGGCAACTCACTAGCGACCAGAATCCCGGACCGTTGGTTGCGCAATACATGTTTGATAGAGTATTCATCTGGCCAGGGCTCAAATTGGTGCAACTGGTTTCGGCGAAGTTGGCCAGCGTATAACAAACCCCGTTGGTCTTGCCGAGCACTTTTGGTCACAATCTGGGTTCCAACCTCTCGCTCTGCCCCAATGAGAGGGTTGGATAGGAATGCGGCTTTCTTGATCTTTTCCTTTGCTATCCTCCGAGTGAGGTGGACTTTCCGTTGGCGTTTCTACGAAGTTTCAATAATGAAGAACTCAAAATCGGGTCTGTGCAGGTGGTACAGACCTCCTGATCCTTGCGTTTGCGCTTAACAGCATCTTTGGAATATTGGGATCCTACTGGAGCTTTGTGGCTCGCCTCGATCTTGAAGTACTTTTTCTTCTCAGGGTCTAGGCTTGATATCAGTATCAGAACAGAAGAGGAAGAGAAGTATATGGAGTAAGATAGAGCGGGCAGGCGTTGTGACACACGACTACCTACTTACCGTAGTAGAACCCTGGTATCTCCCTGTTCATGTTTTCTGTATTATACTATAGATGGACTGATCAAGACGATAAGCTGCGTTGCACCTTAAAAGTGAGTCAAAAAGATACTGTCGCCGATTGTTTTCTCAGGTATCAGTAGAATAGACCAGGAACTCCTTGAATGCCAAGATATGCAACATTATCAGACAGCCCCCAGTGGTAATCGTAATCGGTAGTGTCACAGGGAACTACGGGTATGTTCAATAGCGCTGGATTTCCCGTGGTTGGCAGATCCGAGAGGCCCTCTTTAGTTGAACGGAAGGGTCACAAAAGCTCTAGTGGAGCATAAGGCGCATAAGTAACCGAGTAGATACAGCTGTTTAAAGATCAACCAATGGGTTGAAAGGTGACGGTCATGGTTCAAGAGTCCGAGTTGGAGTTTTTCTGGCGATTTGGTTTGGGGTATTTTTGAAAGCATGACGTCTTGGTTCGGATTATGTCAGCGGCACCATCATCTGATTGGACGACCAACACTATATACATTCCCTCTATAAAGAACCTAGTAGATTTGGAACCTTGGAAAGTTACGAGTATTCCGCATTCGAACGTATATTTCTATGAATTTCCTCCTTGAAAATCTCTTAATTATAGAGCATCAATTCTTCTACGGAACACATTCATTTTCTATATCCCTCGACAAGATCGGAATACAAACGATCTTATTTCGAGGCGTTACTGAGTACTTAGTAGTATATCATCAACAGGCGTATCGTGATACTGTATGGTATAAGATTGAAAGCAAACGCAGTCACGTAGATGGCAGAATAGGGAGCTATGGAAAGAAGCACCTGATCTCCCATTCCTTAAACAGGACTCCTGCAAACCGTCCATTCCTTCAAATACTACACTTCTATTTAACAATGACTCGCATGGCCACGGTAAATTCTTTTAGGTAGGGACGCGCCGCCGTTCTTGCCATTTGTATGACACAAATATAGTTCTTTCCCTCGAGTTGTCTTTACTATCCTTTCCTTTTCCTTCTCACTGTTCTTCCCAGTCTCAATTATCATTGCAGCTTCTATCGGAGGCCTGCATATCTCATCACTGAATCATTTGCATATTCTATTGAATACGAATAACATATCTATAACCCATCGCAAATCCGTTTCATCTTAGCAACTTATATCAGTCTTTCACAAGCTCCCAATGCCTAGTATTCAGCATAGCCTGGACACCACGGGGGCCCCTCACGGTGATGGGGCGTCTTCCAGCCAAGATTATGTGGACCCAAAGGAACAGCTCGTGGCAAGAGTATCGGCTGAATACAAATCATTCACCGAGAATGCGGAGGGTGGAGAAGACATTGAGGACATAGATGCTCTTATCGACGAGCTCGAGTCCATAGACGGCAACCTCGATTTCAATGACATTGGACAAGATGAAAAAAGCAAAACCTGTTGTATCTCGGAGGAACTGCTTCAGACAGACCCCAGTACAGGTCTTACCGAGCCCGAGGTGTTACTCCGTCGAAAGAAGTATGGATTCAATCAGATGAAAGAACAAAAAGAAAACTTAGTCCTCAAGTTTCTCTCATACTTCGTTGGTCCTGTTCAATTTGTGATGGAGGTACGTATATTTGGCCCTCGCATGTCGTGATCTTCGCTTATAAGCCCTCTTCGATACGCCACTGGCATAGGCAGCTGCAATTCTAGCAGTTGGTCTCCGAGACTGGGTTGACTTCGGTGTTATTTGTGCTCTACTGATACTCAACGCATCTGTCGGTTTTATTCAAGAGTTTCAGGCTGGATCTATTGTAGATGAACTGAAGAAAACGTTGGCCCTCAAAGCTGTCGTACTGCGCAACAGTCACCTTGCCGAAGTCGATGCTTCAGATGTGGTGCCCGGAGATATACTAGAAATCGAAGAGGTAATTCATTCTGCGACTTTATAGTGCGCCTCTGGTATGTTGACATTCTAACCGTGGGCAGGGCACCATAATCCCCGCAGATGGTCGGGTCTTGACGAGTAGCGTCCTTCAAGTGGACCAGTCTGGAATCACCGGTGAATCTTTTGCTGTTGACAAAACCGACGGAGACACCTGTTATTCATCGTCGGCTGTGAAGCATGGTCAAGCCCGTCTTGTTGTCACTGCTACTGGCGACTATACCTTCGTAGGGCGTGCCGCTGCCCTGGTTAGTGCCGCCACCTCCGGGACAGGACATTTTACTGAAGTTTTGAACGGTATCAGTATTGTCTTGCTTGTACTCGTTATAATGACTCTCCTCGTCGTTTGGGTATCATCCTTTTACCGCTCGAATGGTATCGTCACCATCTTGGAGTTTACCTTGGCCATTACTATGATCGGTGTGCCTGTCGGCCTGCCTGCTGTGGTAACTACAACAATGGCAGTGGGGGCAGCTTATCTAGCCAAGAAGAAGGCCATTGTCCAAAGGCTTTCCGCAATCGAGTCACTGGCTGGTGTTGAGATACTGTGCTCCGACAAGACTGGTACATTAACAAGGAATAAGCTGTCTTTGGCGGAGCCCTACACTGTTCCCGGTGTGAACTCAGAGGATCTAATGCTCACAGCTTGTTTGGCCTCTTCGCGAAAGAAGAAGGGTATGGACCCTATTGACAGAGCTTTCCTAAAAGCGCTCAAGGGTTATCCAGAGGCGAAATATGCGCTCACACAGTATAAAAAGCTCGAATTCTTCCCATTTGACCCAGTGTCAAAGAAAGTCATAGCCATAGTGCAGTCTCCCCAGGGCGAGCGAATCATTTGCATGAAAGGAGCTCCTATTTTTGTGCTAAGGACAGTCAAAAAGGACCACCCGATACCAGAGGAGGTAGAGGTGGCCTATATGAATAGAGTGGCAGACTTTGCAGTACGTGGTTTTCGCTCACTCGGTGTTGCTCGAAAGCGCAGTGAACGTGAATGGGAAATACTTGGCATAATGCCATGCTCAGATCCTCCTCGACATGATACTGCAAAGACCATACATGAAGCCAAGTCGCTCGGCCTGTCAATCAAGATGCTCACTGGCGATGCAGTCGGGATTGCCCGTGAGACGTCGCGTCAACTTGGACTGGGCACAAATGTGTATAACGCCGAACGCCTCGGCCTCGGTGGAAAAGGAACAATGCCTGGGTCTCAGGTTTATGACTTCGTCGAAGCCGCCGATGGATTCGCTGAAGTCTTCCCTCAACACAAGTATAATGTTGTTGATATCCTTCAGCAACGAGGCTACCTAGTGGCAATGACTGGCGATGGTGTCAACGACGCTCCATCGCTGAAGAAAGCCGACGCCGGGATTGCAGTTGAGGGCTCCTCAGACGCAGCCCGTACTGCAGCTGATATAGTTTTTCTAGCACCTGGTCTATCTGCCATTATTGATGCTTTGAAAACATCCCGTCAAATATTTCATCGTATGCACGCTTATGTGGTGTATCGAATTGCACTGTCCCTGCACCTCGAGATATTTTTGGGACTCTGGATAGCCATTATGAACGAAAGTTTGAACATACAGCTTGTGGTTTTTATTGCTATATTTGCCGACATTGCCACGTTGGCTATAGCTTATGACAAAGCGCCCTATTCGAAAACACCTGTGAAGTGGAACCTGCCTAGGCTATGGGGAATGTCCGTCCTACTTGGGATTGTTCTAGCGATAGGCACTTGGGTCACGCTATCCACCATGCTGTCCGGTGGTGAACAGGGAGGGATCGTGCAAAACTTTGGAAAACGAGATGAAGTCTTGTTCCTAGAAATCTCGCTAACTGAGAATTGGCTTATCTTTATCACACGTGCGGAAGGCCCCTTCTGGTCCTCAGTCCCTTCCTGGCAGCTTATGGGAGCTATCCTGGTAGTAGACCTGGTGGCAACCTTCTTTTGCCTATTTGGATGGTTTGTCGGAGGTCAGACCTCTATCGTCACCGTCGTCCGTACATGGGTATTCTCAATCGGTGTGTTCTGCGTGATGGGTGGTTTATATTACCTGTTACAGGACTCCAAGGGCTTTGACAATATCATGAATGGGAGATGGCCCAGAAGCAAAGCTTCTAGACAACGACAGAAAGAAGACTTCGGTAAGGTTTCTCTTCATTTACTATTCTTACTTTGAGCGTCTCGCTTACTAGAGGCAGTGGTTTCAATGCAACGAACTTCAACACTGCATGAGAAAAGTTCACTGAACGGAGCCGATACTGGGTCCGAAGCCCCCCGTTGAATGATACTCGACCTACACGTATGGAAGGTATTACATTCACTATGTCTGAGCGCCCATATGGTTACGTAGCTCTTTATAAAGAATCGTCGACCTCTTTTGACCTTTTGACCTTCTTTTTTTTCTTTTCTGTCGGCCCGACGATTTCGAGTGTGGGTGGCCCTTCAGTATTTCTTAGCCACTCTCTCCATTATTTCATTTTTTTATTAGCAAACCGTCCCTCACTTTTTTATCTGGAACGCAGCGAAGTCCCTGTAGGTATGGTGGATGTTATACGACACTAAATTATGACAAATCGTTATATTCGAGGAAAGTGACATGTCCATATGAAGTGTTCTCCGTGGCGCAAGGAAGCAGACGTTTCGCTGTCCAATAATGCTTGTATCATCGTAAGAAGCTACATCGTCTGTAATGAAGCCATAGATCAGGATCATGTTTGCAACAATGTCGTAAAATTATTAACTACCTCAGACCTAGTCTGATGCTGGTGCGGAGTATTTTCAGATTTAGCTAGGTCCATAGTACCATCTGTCCATCACTCCTCCGACTTCATATTCTTTCTGTCAAACAAGCATATGGGTTTACATTACATGGGTAGGGTTGAGGAAGTACCGCTGGGGAATATACATGACAGCAGTAACGATATGCGAGCCAACCAATAGATCAAATACAGAGTAAGGTAAAGAAAAGGCAAAAGGAAGGAAGATAAAGTGTCGAGCGAGTGGGTGAGTAAAGGGAAAACTATGTGCATGGTTATAGAGAAGAAACGGAAAAGGAAAGTATTAAGATTTCGATGTCAGGTGATCTACCGCCTGGAAGGAAGATGGTTGTTAGTTAACTGTATTTTCGGGGTGATGGGTGTATTTACCTTGTCAAGGTTGTAATCAAATTTCTCCAATGCGGCAAGTGATTCCTCACGAGGGAAACCCATGCCGGTCAAGCGCTGAAGAAATTGGTCATCTTCTGTGCCGGTCTGGAGAGCCCAGCCTGGTGTCTTTCCATCATGGCCGGTTGGTGACGTTAATGTAGTAGTGTTAGTGCCATTGGTGGCACCAGGACCCTGGACGTTGTCAAGTGGCGCAAACAGCGCTTCCCAATCGTGGGTCTGAGGCTTGTCATTGGAGTTAGATGGGGGTGCGGCACCTCCAGGGGATGAAGGGGCGACGTTCTGGTCAAAATTGAAGAAGTCTGAAGAAGCGGCGTTGCCTGCACCAGGGCCAGGAGAGGATGCCTTCCGTTGTGTTGGGGAGTCAAAAGAGAAATCGAAGTCGTGGTTATTCTTATTATCGGGCGCTTCGAAGTCGTCATCATCCTCACTCTCCTTAGCGGGTGCTAGATTGAGACCTGCGAAGGCCGCCTCAAAGTCCGGGGCACTGGGCTTCTGGCTAGGAGGCACGGCTGTCTCCTTGGCAGTTTCAGGCTGCGGTTCCCCGTGAACAACCGGTGCCCCGGTGCTTGATTCAACGGAATGAGGAGCATCGGGAAAAGCTGTGGGGTCCTCACGTTTTGGCAAAAGACCGTTGAACTCAGGAGCATCCCCGGCGGCTTCTTTCTGAACACTTTCTTCATATTTGGGAAGGCTTTGCTGCGAGTCCGCGGCTGGAGGTTTGGATGCTATCTGACTTTGCGGGGGGGCAACAGGGATAAAATTATCATCGAATCCCATGGGCGCCTCGCTATCTGTGCTGTCATCATCATCGTCGTCATCATCGAATTCACGAATGGGTGGGAATTCGGAGGCAGCTGGTGCACCATTGGTCTTGTTTGGGACAGTGCCCTGCTTCATAGAGGCGAATGCTTCCTCGAAGTCATTTTCTTTCTGAGATTTTGAACGCTGATGCGCTGGTCCACCGAAAAGCTCATCGAAGCTGGGATCTTTCTTTTCCACAGGCTTTTCTTCACTGGAAGACGATACAGCGGTATTTGCAAATTGTTCGGTTTCACCGGGAATTTCTGGGAACTTCTGCTTCAATTCCTCAGACTCATCGAACGCCGCGGATGCAGAGGTAGGCCCAGCCTCGCTAGCTCCAGATTGAGCAGGTGGACTCAAATCTGGCGTATCATATCTACTAGCAGGTGGCGAAACCATCGTCGAGGAGGTCGCCGACTGTGCCTCGCCAAATGGAAGCACATTTGGCGTGAGCTGCCTAGACTGGGACGGGGCTGGAGGTTCGTTGAAGAACGCAGTGGCGGGCGGTGGAGGGGATGCCGACGGGGTCGGTGCTCCAGAGGTTGCGGACTTGATCGAAGTTGGATGAGAGTCAGCGCGGAAGGAAGTCGGCGGCGGCGGAGTGGCTGTGTTGACTGGAGTTCCGAGAGATGGGCCGAATAGGCTATCAAAAGCACGCTGCTGATCATTTGAGACCTGAGGTGACAGAGCGTTGCTCTCACTAGAGCCAGTCATCTGGCGTTTGAAGAACGGGTTTGTGTTCTGGCTAGTTGTTGAGGCAGCTGGACTGCTGACGCTAGGGATGGCGCTGGCAGCAGCCACGCTCTCATCTGGCTCGTAGGTTTGCTCCTTCGAGAGGCTATCTATTTCTTCCTGCAGCTTCCCTTTTTCACCCTCTACAGTAGCAAGCTGCTTCTTGTTGATTGCCGCCAAACCTTTCTGCTGTCGAGCCTCAGAACGGGCCTTTTCGAGCGCCGGTTTGAGCTGAGCGACAGCAGCATTCGCCTGCCGGATCTTCTCCTTCAGACTTGCATTTTCCTGCTGATCAGCAGTGAGCGCAGCAGATACTTGATCGTACTGGTTCTGCAGATCCTGCCTGCTTCCCTCAATCAACGCGTACTCCTGCTGTAGCTTGTTGGTCTCGGCCTTAGACGCATTAAGTCGTTCTTCGAGAGCCTTGAAATTCTTGACCTCCTGCTCGTACATTGTCCTGGCCTGAGAAAGCCGAGCTTCGAAATCGCGCTTTTGCTGGGAATTTTGAGACAGTTCCTGCTCCGCTGAGGTGCGTTTAACCTGGACATTTTGCATTTCATTCGCTAATGAGCCTATTTGATTAGAAAGATTGGCAAGCTCCGTTGTTTCCTGTGTCAGTTTGTTGGACTCTTCAGGGTCATTATCTCCGAGAAGGTCATCTGACGGTGACGCAGGTGAACGAGCGGTGGGGCCAACACTGGATGAGGCACCCGTCGTCTGTGGTTGAAGGCTTTGCCCAAAGGATGAGGTCGGGACAAAAGGCTTGAAGGTTGTTGAAGTGCTTGGGGGGGATGCTCGAGCTGTTGGGGAAGCAGGCATCTGGAATGGCACATTCGAACCACCTGTAGAGTGGGGTACCTGCGCAGGAGCTGCAGCCGGAGTCGGGGCTGAGAGAGAGTCGAGACCGAACAGATCATCTGCGGCCGACCGAACAGCCGGTGCAGGGGCAGCTGCTTGAGCCATACCCGTAGCCTGCGCAGGTATAGGAGCCGGGGCCACCTGAGCAGAGCCAGGGCGACGCATACTCGGCGGAATCAAAGCTGGAGGCAGAACCTGTGGGAGCGGCTCCTTTCCACTGCGTACTTGACGAACCAAATACATAGCAACTGCAAATTCATCCTTCGTTAGTTGTCCATCAGCATCGATATCGGCCAAATCCCAAATTTGAGCAAGCGTTTCCTCGGGTAGTTGCGCATTCATGAAGAAAGTCACAGCCTGGTCCCCGGTGAGTTTGCCAAGCTTTGCGGAATCAACGGTTGAGAAGATACTATCGAATTGTGCTTTCTCGTGAGGAGTGATCAGCCAATCAGCACCGGTAGACTGTGCAGAAACGGGGGACCCAAAAGGCCTGTTGATAGGGCTCTGTGTCCGTTGTGGTCCAGTAAATTGCTTTGGAATTGCGGGCACCGGGGGAACATCAAGTCCAGGACGGGAACCAATGGAAGCACGGCTAGATCCCCTTCGCGCAGCGGCTTCATATAGGCCCGGCGGTAGGGTCTGAGGAATTCCTCTCATTGCACCTGATTTGTAGGAGGTCAAAAGGTGCATGGCAATGATGAACTCGGTCGCATCCAGGGCACCACGTTGCTTGGTGTCTGCGAGATTCCATATTCTGCCAAGGATTTCATTGGGCAGCCTTGCGCGTTCGAAAATTTGTTTAGCTATCTCGCCTATAATCATTTACATGGTTAGCTGAGATCTATCCGTTCTTGAAGTGTGGGCATTGCGTGCCTGAGAGAACACCACTCCTGGAGACGTCCGATTTCTCAAACAGCGACAAGAACTTATTCACATCATCTGGGTTCAACGGGGGAACACGGATTGATGCTCCAGGAGTTGGAGGAGGACTTGTTGCGCCTGCCTCACGAGTGGGGGCAGACGTATCGACTTGAATGCCATCGAACCTGGGTAGCGGCGCGGCTAAATTGGTCAAAATTGTAGTCAACATCATGCTCTCAGAAATTCTACAAGAATACAAACTAAACAGCAGCGAGTAACCCACGTTGTAAAGCCAATTCCTCTGACGGGGAACGGCCGGCTTGAGCGTGCCCGATCAACCGCAAGACAACACCGAACCCAGCGGGGGTCAGGAGACCGCGATTCTCCCTATCCGCAATTTGCCATATCTACAGCACACCCCAGATACTGTTAGCTAGGGTCCTTCCGTAGGGATACCAGGGGGTGTGCAGTGGAACTCGTTGTGCATCGACGTACCAAGCCGAGAGTGTCGGGGGCTAACTTGGTCTTTTCAAAGAATGGGACGGCGACTTCGCCAGTGATGACACCCAGATTAGTTGTGTCGGCAGCTTGGAAGAGCTGATAAAAAACGCGTTTTTCCTCAGGAGTCAGATTGAGGTTCGGGTGTCGTGCTGTTGGAAGTAAAAAGGAAACCCGTCAGTTCCGCTGTATCCATCGTATACGGGTGCACCCATCCCCTGAGAGCTTTCCCACCCGCATCTGAGTTGCGTCATTACTGGCAAGACTTACTGTTGTCAGCCATAGCTGTAATTCCGGAGGGACAAGCCTCCCCTCTTTCTAAGCAATCTTCCCGGGATGCTCGACAAGGGGTCTTCAACGTTTCAGGGTTGCCAACTTATCCAGAAGATGCCACGGGCATGGATGGTCAAAGCGCTGCCTTCTGGATGAGGTAACGTTGGACGGAACGGCGGAAATTAATGCCCCGATCGAGTTGCGATAGTAGAAAAAGATGGCACTTTCACTTTAGAACGGGGGGTTAAAGAATGGGACAAGTAAGAAAATATGGACGGGATAGGGTTGCCGAGAGCTTGCAACAAGCTGGAAGGGCAGCGTTCACTTAGAGGGGGGAGAAATGAGGGATTGGGTTCATTTACTAGTACTTCCGTAGCTTAGGCTTGGAGTCCGGGGGGTTTCTGCCGGGCGGTCAGACACCCTCAACCCAACTACTGATTAGTATGGAGCTTAAGGCAGCGACCCATGGTGGAGTCGCTTGCATGAAGGATACAGGGCAATGAACTTGCCTTAATTTACTCAGTCAGTGGGCTACTGTAAGTGACCAGTCTTGTCCCTGGTGGTCCTCGGTATACCAATACAGCTTTACTATTCAATCACACCTTTGCATTCTTAACCAATTCTACCGTGCAAGAGCTACATGTGGAAGGAGCGGTAAATTCATCGCTATTTCAGGGATATTAAAAATATATCAGACAAAGAAAACAAAGTCTGTGCTAATCCAAGCTTCTCTCTTATTTGCAGGCGGTTCAATCACTTAACCTTGGCCAACACCTGTCCCCAGCACTACAACTCGGAAACAATCGCTATCAGCGTCCGAAAACATGGTTGAGCGCAACCATGGTCGGAATGCTGACCGAGCGGTGTTTTAGACTTAGTACTCAGCCTCAACCTCTTCCTCCAGCGAGTCGCTGGCGACCTCCTCGTAATCACGCTCGAGGGCAGCCAAGTCCTCACGGGCCTCAGAGAATTCACCTTCCTCCATACCCTCACCAACGTACCAGTGAACGAAAGCACGCTTGGAGTACATGAGGTCGAACTTGTGGTCGAGAGCGGACCAGGCCTCGGAGATAGCGGTGGTGTTGGACAGCATGCAGCTATAACGGGTCAGATCTCTGACATTTTGCACGGGGGAGGAAGACAGGGAACTTACACAGCACGGCTGAGGTTGGCAAGGTCACCGTTAGGAACCTGCTTAGGGGGCTGGTAGCAGATACCGATCTTGAAGCCAGTAGGGCACCAGTCAACGAACTGGATGGTACGCTTGGTCTTGAGGGTAGCAACGGCGGCGTGGGTCTCCTTGGGCACAACATCACCACGGTAGAGCAAGCAGGTAGCCATGTACTTGCCATTGCGGGGATCACACTTGACCATCTGGTTGTTGGGCTCGAAGCAAGACATGGTGATCTCGTTGACGGAGTTGGCCTCGTGGGAGGCCTTGGCCGCGGAGATGACGGGAGCGTAGGCAACGAGAGGGAAGTGAATACGGGGGTAGGGGACCAGGTTGGTCTGGAACTCGTTGAGATCCACGTTCAGGGAACCATCGAAACGCAGGGAGGCGGTGATGGAGGAGACAACCTGAGCAATCAGGCGGTTCAGGTTCTCATAGCTGGGGCGCTCGATGCCAAGGTTGCGGCGGCAGATGTCGTAGATGGCTTCGTTGTCAACCATGAAACTGCAGTCGGAGTGCTCAAGGGTGGTGTGGGTAGTCAGGATGGAGTTGTAGGGCTCAACAACGGAGGTGGCGTTCTGGGGGGCAGGGTAGACGCAGAACTCCAGCTTGGACTTCTTGCCGTAGTCCACGGAGAGACGCTCCATCAGGAGAGCACCGAAACCGGAACCAGTACCACCACCGAAGGAGTGGAAGACGAGGAAGCCCTGGAGACCAGCGCAGTTGTCGGCCACACGGCGAACCTTATCGAGGACCTGGTCGATCATCTCCTTGCCAACGGTGTAGTGACCACGGGCATAGTTGTTTGAGGCATCCTCCTTGCCGGTGATCATGTTCTCGGGGTGGAAAAGGGTACGGTAGGTGCCAGTGCGGACCTCATCGACAACATTGGGTTCCAGATCGGCGTAGATGGTACGAGGAACATACTTGCCCTGACCTAGGACACGATGGCCTGTTAGAGAGTTCGGCGGCAAGATAACAAGTCAAGGCGACGTACCAGTTTCGGAGAAGAAAGTGCTGAAACCATGGTCAGGGTCTTCCTTCTTGCGTTCCTCGGTCAGGTAACCATCGGGCTATCGTATACCGATTAGTCTATCTGCCCGATTGAGATGAAGATGGATGGATTGTCATCGTGATCACGTACCTGGATGCCGTGCTCAAGGCAGTAGAGCTAGAGAACCATAGTGTTAGTTTGAGTGGTTACATTCCGATCACCTCTATCTTCTAGTATATTTCTATCTTCGTACCTCCCAGCAAGAATTGGCGATCTGGCAACCAGCCTGACCAACTGCACACGTAAAAACAATTAGTAACGGTCAACAGACCGACTCCCGTGGAGGAGGCGGTGTGAGGAAAAGATGAGAAAACACATACCGTTCAAACTAATAACTTCTCTCATCTTGTCGAGTCTAAAGGGGACGAATGTCGAAGTGACAAAGGAATTAAGATTGGAAGGAGGGGGGTGTGTGAAACGGAGTGGGTGGAATGTGGAAGGACTTTAGAGGGGGAAAAATGCCCTGATCTGTAAGGAAGTTTCAGGGGTAAGTAAACGAAAAAAACACCACCTGGGAGAAGAAACAAAAGAGAGGGAAAGGGGAACCGGTGGGAGGAAATTGGGGGAGGAGAACAAACCCTTGGGGTGATTGACGAGGAGAAAAATAGACTAGGGGGATCAATTAAACAATCGCTCAAGGCCCGAAAGATCGGTCAATTTGTTGTGGTCTTGCGATGCGCTGTCAACCCAAAAGCAGGACTTCCACCTTTTCGTTGTTGATCCATCCGTTGGGTCGCGTCGTCCACAACTCCTTTTCTGATTGGCCCTGCCCATTCCGTGACCGCCCTTCCAGCCCACCGCTGACTCAGCGATCCTTTTAGGTTTAGTCCACGGCAAGGGTCAATCACGTGTGAATGACGGCATGTCTTCCTGCAGCTGTATTGCATTGACTAGTATCCGAACAGCTTGCGACAGAGGTATGTACTATTGAAAGTACTCACGTCGATTGGAGCTCAGACAGATAGTGCTCTATTTCTCGTCACCGAGACGGCTACACAATGGTCTAATTGATAGTAAGTTTGTATTGGCACTGAATCCATCCCATCTAAGATCTTTAGGAATTTAACGTCTATATCAGATCTACCTCACCTACTGCATATATACATACAGCCAGTCTACCGTACCTGACTGCGTATGGATTAAAACCATGACCGTCTAGCAAAAGCATCAATCGAACATATTGAAATCGTTGTCATGATGCTACTCCAATACCTTTTCTTAATCTGCACCGTCGCGTTCCTCGCCGTCGCCAATGTCGAGAAAACGATCTTCATCGCTCCGCAACCCCTCACCATCCCCACGGTCGATCCTACCCTCGATGACCTAGGTCTAGATCGTCTCTCCCCCTCTAGTCCCGTTCTCCGAACCAGAATAAACGCTACATTTCCGACCAACGAGTCCCCGGGTACAGATTCATGGTATTTCCTCGAGAACCTGAACCCCGGCCAACGGTATGAGGTGCGGGTGTGTTGGTTGGCCACTGTACGTCCTTGTATACCCTCCGTCGATGTCCAGCAAGGCGATCAAAGAAAATTAGCTGACAAGCAGTCAAAGGAACCGACGGTCTTTACCTTAGCAACGCACACCCTTCCACAAGCCATTGATGATCCCGCCCTCTTCTCCTCGATCAGCCTGTATTCCCAAGCCCATCTCGCCTCCCCTCAGTCTAACGCTGTTCCTCGCAAATTGTCCTCGTTTCATGATCAAGCACCTACCTCTGATTCAGTGCTCTTCCTTCGTGTCACTGCGGCGGCGGACTACTTTTCTCTTAATAAGACACTAATGGAGAATGTCCCTCCGGTTGCAGCGGACATCATCCTCGATCCCTTTTTATGGAACATCTTCCCGCAGTCGCTGGTACCGACGGCATGTTATATATTTGTTGTTGGATGCTTAGCGGTGGTGATCGGATGGTGGGTGTTGGGAGAGCTGGGAAGGGTCGTTGATTACATGAACTCACAGCACCCGGATGATAAGAAAGATAAGTAATGAGCTAAGGTAGATAAATATATATATATATGTATTGGTCGTCTGTAAAATTCAGGAAGAACAATGGCAAAATGCTTGAATATCATCTGGCTCAATTTATGCAAACTCTAAGTTTTAAATGGCCTCATCTAGATGTATTACTTGCGTGGCGAGGGATTAACATAACATAATTTCAGAAACACATAAAAATCATGAGGGCATGAGGGAATGGGTCGTTATTTGGAAAGAACCAAAAGAAAAGGAAACGAAACAGCATAACAACTTGGGGAATATGTTTCGGGGAGGGTTGAAATGCTCAAAATAACAAATCTGTCAAGAATAGCCCTCTGTCATAAACGCCTGACATAAGAAGACAGAACATTAATCTTCGAAAAAGTGAAGGACAGCCCGAATACCCTTCGACCCTAGCCCATGAGGTGGATAGGCAATGTAAAGGGGATCGTCCTGTGCTCCCAGTTTCGCACGGAACTCGCTCTTGCGAACCAAATGGAACTGCTTCGCCAAGGTTTCATAGGTATGCTGCAGCATCTTCACCTTGGCTCCGTGCATATTGTGCCCCGGAGTAAGAGTGGTGGTGGCGCCAGCACCAAAAGTAAGCGACTTGACTCCAGACCGAGCCGCTGTCTGGATGGCGTGAGTAACGATATGCTCAATGACACCATTGGGAGACCCGGGGAAGTCGAAGCTGTATTTCACCTGCATGCCATGGGATGGGGATAGGGTGGCCAAGGCGACAAAGGCACAAATAGTACCTTCCTTGTCGACCGCATAGAAATACCAGCGATGGGCATGATCACGCCATGGATGAATCTCAGACAGGTGCACTTGAGTGCCTTTACGGTTGGACAGCCAGTCTTGGATGCGCTGGTCAATCTTCTCGCGGATGTTGTCCGGTACCATCTCACCCTGATTCATGCTCACGAGTTTGACCCCCTCGCTCTCCGAGTGTCGGATCTTCCGAGCAATTTCGCCATCTGAAGCAGCTTGGTTGCGGGACGGATCTACACGCTCCTCTGCGATGCAAGACAAACTACGCCAGCCAAGCTTCTCGCCCAGGATCGCCTCAACCTGAGGGGAACATAAGAGCCAAACGGGTTTATACTTGGTCTCCCGGCGCATCCATTGCAGGAACTGAGTGATCACGCGCGAATACTGCCGAGCGTCGCACAGAGGATCACCTGGGATCACTGCATAATTGCTGGTGCTAGGCACGTACGAGATTGCTGCGCCGGTCGCCATGTCACGCCAGATCTTGAATCGCTCATCTCCCCATGATGTAGAGGTCGCATCACCATAATTGGCGATGAGATGCTCTATCGGCTGCAGGTGGCTCTCATCGGGCGCCAAGTGACCTTTTCTGTCGCGGACCCAGGATGGTTCGACGGTCGAGGACTCTGGGTGCCGCAATTGCAAAGTTGGGGGCTTAGCGGGGAAACTCTTAGGATCACGATAGAAGAGAGAAGCGAGACGAATGTTGCCCAACTTGAGAAGAAGCATCAAGAAACGCTCCAGGCCCACGCCAGCCCCGGCGTGGGGAGGTGCGCCCCATCGGAAGCCTTCCATATATTCCTCCATGGTGTCAGGATTGATGCCCACACGGCGCATATTTTCCTCGAGCATATGGGGATCATGGATACGCTGACCGCCTGAGACGATCTCTTGGCCCCGAATAAAGATGTCAAAGGAGTTAGTGAAGCGGTTGTCATCAGGATCGGGCATCGTGTAGAAAGGACGTGCACCGATGGGGAACTTGTCCAGAATGTAGTAGTCCGTGCCGTACTTCTCCTTGACGAGCTCGCCGAGGCGAATCTCATCGCGAGTATGTAGGTCATCATCTACCGGCAAGAGATTTCCCTCCTCATCACGCCACCCGGAGTCGTTGAGCATCTTGATACCGTCGGAGAACCGGATGATTGGCGTTTCTTCGAGCCAAACGACGTCGTCCGACGGGAATTGTTGTTTCACAATCTCGATCTCGCGACGGAAGCGACCATAGACGCCTTTCAGGATACTCTTGATCACAGCATCTAGAACCTCCAGCATCTCATGGTAGTGCTCTTCAATTGCCATTTCAATATCCAGTCCAGTGTACTCTGTCAAATGGCGATGGGTGTTGGAATTCTCCGCGCGGAACACAGCGCCAATTTCATACACTCGACCGAAGTCCGCCGCGATGGCCATCTGTTTGGCCAACTGGGGGCTCTGAGCCAGGAAAGCATCACGACCAAAGTAATTTACCTCAAATACACTGGCTCCAGACTCAGTGGCGGACCCTTGCAGCTTGGGTGTATGAATCTCGATGAAATTCTGCTCATCAAGGGCGGTCCGGAACAGATTTCCCACCGCTGATTGAATGCGGAAGATTGATTGAGATGTGGGCGTACGCAAGTCCAGCAAACGGTTGGTTAGACGCGTGCGGTCAGGGATGTGACTACGCCGACCTTCAACGCGCTCTTCCTCGGGGGTCTGGATCTCGGCCTCATAGACGCTGAACGGGACCGGTTCGTCCCGCCGAACGACAACGTGAATCGCATCAATGGCCAGTTCAACATCATGAATGGTGCACCCTAGCACTGGCACCTCTGGGGCTTGAACCGTGCCACGAACCTGCACTATAGAGCCCACACGCAGGTGCTCGACCCATTGAACCATGGCGATGGAGCTCTTGCCGGGGGATTCATGCAAAACACCCTGAAAAGTGTAAAGCTGTTGGCGAAAAACAAGGAAAACCAATTTGGCACTCATGCGACGGATGATATGCAAACGCGCCGTGAAGAGGACCTCCTTGCCCACCGAGTCCGCCGAGATATCCTCAAACTTGGTCCGGAGCTCCCGCTGGCGAGAGCGCGACTGGAGGAGGGGCAGCTCGCCATAGCGAGCCTTCATCTCTGCAGTCTCTTCACGAGCGGCAGCTGCAACAGCCTCCTTGTGACGTTCAGATTCTTCAGAGTGATGCTCTTCGCTGAGACGAGAGCGCTGTTGTCGGCGCTGCTGACGCGCAAGGCGTTTCTGCTGGTTTTTGCTCATCGTCCCGGTAGTGGGGGACGAAGAGTCATCAGAAACATCATCCGAAGAAGAGGCATAGCCGCCACGATCCCGCAAGAATCCGCTCAGGATACTGCGTCGAGGGGACATTGACCCCGAACGCCTGCTGGGGGCGGGAGACGAGTCATTGGTATCAATTTTGTTGGGGACGATCTTGGAAAGGGCCCGTTTGATGGACATGATTACTGCGTTTGCGTAATGGACGACCGAATCATTCAGAAGAGTAAACTTTGACAAAGCCGCTTTACCCCGTTGAAGGAGGGGCACACAGCGGGACGGGTACGAGTCGGGGAGCCGATCTCTACGACGAGGGCCAGGGTCAATTGGAGAGTGTAAGATTTGTTGAAAAGCGCGGGACTCTTGCGGGGGATGTCAGAGAGTTAAATATCGAACTTAAAAAGAAGAAAAAGGGTTGAAAGGGGAGAAACGAGAAGAAAAGGTTGCATTTTGACTTTGTCAGGGTCCGGAACAAACGTGATGTCATCGGCTAGGGTACCTCGGAATCTTTCTCAGATTTCTCATAATGAACCCTTTCTTACCAAGCCAAGTTTCCATAGCGTTGGCGTCTAGAATGATCGGATTATGAGACAATTCCCATAGTTCCCTGTTTCTGATTGCCTCCCTCCGTTCTGTGACCCCTGGTGCCCTTATCAACCCGGACAAGTCGTCCTCCTCCGACTACCACTCTACATACAGACGTACATACGTACCTACATAGTACATACATTCTGGTGTCCCCATTCCCGGCTTGGCTTTTCCTTAGTTCCTCCATGATCCATTCAGGCCATTGATTACTATTCCCCAGTTCTTTTGACTTTCCCCATTTGCCTCCCACCAGAGTCCAAGTCAATTTTCTTCCTCCCGTAATCTTTCCGGCTCTTCGTATTCCGTGAATTGCGATCGTCTCTGTACTGATCTTAATCATTCATGGTCGTCTTTTCCTTCCCTTCTGATTCTCCAACCTCCACGCCTTAATAATCTGTGTTCGCCCCTTCGACAAGGGCTATATTCTGTTAGTCATGGCGTCGTCGCGATGGTGGCTTCTCGTGCAGGCCGTCTTTTGGCGGTTCCTCATGCGCATTGGCATGTTCATCCACCATATTTCGTTCCCACGGCCTCCTCGTCGCTCTTTCGTCCGATCCATCCCGTCCGGTTCGTCACGGATTGATTTGTACTTCTACTGTCCACCCGAGTACTCTCAAGATATTAAAGAAGGTCGCAGATTTCCAGTAGTGGTTAACTTTCATGGGGGTGGGTTCACCCTAGGATGTCCGACCGATGATAGTCGCTGGGCCCAGTCCGTCCTGGCGGAAGTGGGCGCCGTCATGGTCAGCGTCGGATACCGTCGAGCCCCCGAACATCCGTTTCCCGCCGCTGTAGATGACGGGGTGCGAGCGATCCAGTATCTCTCTGCCCATGCCATTGAGCTAGGGCTGGACGTCTCACGCATCGCTCTCAGCGGGTTTTCGGCTGGTGGCAATCTGGCGGTCACGGTACCTTTACGCCTCCGCAGTCTAATGTGTCAGGATCCCGCGACCCATGGCTGGACCGCGCAGGGTCTACCGAACAGCTTGTCGATGCTTCCGCCAGCGACGTCCATATCGTTGCTATCTTTTGCTGGTATCCCATCTTGGATTTCGAAGAATCCCGTGAGCTTCGGCGGAATGCGAGTATCATGCCCGATAAGACCCTCCCGGAGTTCTTCACCAATTTATTCGATGAGGCATATTTGCCCGATCTTGTGGACCGCCGGTCGCCGTATGCATCGCCCGTTCGGGCCGCGGATGACCTTCTCGCCGATGCCCTCCCCCATGACATCTTTCTGTACATCTGTGAATGGGACATGCTCCTCAATGAAGGCCAGCAATTCGTGCGTCGTTTACAAGATATTGGCAAGCATGTCCGCGCCATGATGATTGAGAAAGTACCGCATGCCTGGGACAAGTCTCCGAACCCGTGGCGTGATCAGGAACAGGTAGATATCCTCTATCGCGACGCTTGTGCCGACATGAAAGCCATCTTTAATGCGTAGACGTTACACCACAGTTTATATTGCTCATTTGGGCCTACCAGTGGCCTTGCTTTGCTTTTTTTTTGGATCTTGATAGATGTGCATAAACGGCGTTGGGTCAAGCGAGTCTGCGGTTTCAATAGTGTACAGTACTACGTTCAGTAACAATGAAGACAATCCATTCAAAACTATTAACGAAGTACTTGGACAGATCGCAAAGATATTTTCACGGGAGCTCAACCACTACATCATTGACCAGATACCGTCGCAGGCTTCCGCGCCGTCACCGCAATATACTTCCACCCACGCTGATAGTTGGCGACGATGGCGACTGTGTTGATGAAATAAGCTTCCAAGCCCAAAGCTAACACAATCATGGATGGGATGTACAGGAAATAAGCTAGAAACCGAATCATTGGTTTGACATTTTGCGAAATATCGCTCTCCTGAACATCCTCAAAGCCAGCCTTGTTCAGCATCCCAACCAAGCCTTTCTGTGGGCAAGCTTGTTCGCTTCGGTCCTCTGAGGGTGACGGCCCGAATTGTCCATTTGCCGCCTTTGAGATAGCGCCATGCAAGCGAACCTTGTCCATAGCCTCCTTTTCCGATTGGTTTGTTTGCTGAATATCGTCGCCACTCCAGTGGTCATATTCGTATAGGGCGATCCTGCCTCCGGGTTTGAGTGTTCGGTAAAACTCTGACAGGGCGCGGTTCAAGTCGGTCGCATGGACTAATGTCTCTATGGTGTAGATGCCGTCTAGGGAACCCTTTCCCACCGTTTGAAGATCATGGTAGTCACCTTGCTCGACCGTCAATGCATCCAAGGGTGTGACTGTGTCTGACTTGTGCTTGGCGTTCCAGTCAACTTTACCAATAGCCTCCAGGACGTTCTGTTGTGCTTGTTGGACGTGTTCTGGGAGAACATCGATGGCATGTACTTGCAGGCCCTTCTGCGCGAAATGGATCGCCACCTGGCCGTCTCCGCAACCGGCATCGAGAACTCGGGCACCCGGGCTCAAATGCAGTGATCGAAACACTTGATCTTCCATCGCAACAAGCGCCTGGTGGACCGGAAATGGCCACCAGACATCTGGGGAGTAGTAGCCTAGGTGGGCACGGCCGCCGTAGACGATCCAATTTCCGAGACGGGTTTCGAGGGAGCTGTAATACCGCTTGACGCCGTCCATAGTTAGGGTGTAAATACAGGAGTTCTGTCCACTCGACGTTGCTGCAAGAGCCAAACTAGAAAGTTGGGCACTCCTCCACCCATGCTTATATGCACATGTCCCATTGATATGAGCTTAAGCACTAAACCAATGGGGATACCAGCTTTGGTCGTCAGAGTTTGATTTCTCCAATGGTGGAATGCCATTCTGGCTCCCGGTTTGCTAGAAAGTCTGCAAAACTATATCCCTCTTTGTTTCGGTATTTTGAGATCCTTGTCGCATTGACGGGTCGTGGAGACCAGGCGGGCGGCCGACTTAGGTTTGTATTGTTCATTGAGCTGTTTGGATATTGTTCTTTTTGGCAACGAACTATCCATGGGTCCAGCCGTTGGATCGTCTTTGTGATTGGCATACTGTGTATTTGCCAAGAGCACCCATTTCTCGGCGACTCGTACTGAGGCCAGATTTGATAAGTTTTAGAAAGAGGTGTGGGCTAGACTACCGAGATAGTTTGTTGCCAAGCAAGCAAGCAATCGACGATCAGTGAATCGGGAGCATCAGTGCCCTTCCGGATTTGCCTCATGCGGAAAAACCAACTCAACATCAGCCTTTTCATACTTCGCTCGAAATTGCCCATCTGGTGCCCCAATTGCGGCCATGACTTGCTCTAACAGGCTAGGAGAATCGCATTCTATCATTACTATGTGGACTATTCCCGTAGTACTACACGCCATTTTAGACTACCAGATATCAGCACAGATTTATATAAACCGAGGTTATACCCCATCAATATGGTGCAATACATAGAGTATGGTCGGCTAGGGACAAAAGCTATCTCTAACGTGATGCTGCTGAAGTCTGAGGACAGCCTTCAGCGTTCAGTGGCGCACTTCTTCCTTGAACTGGAAGCCGCCAATTCTCTTGTCAACTAAAAATATATTCCGCTGGGGGTATTGTCAGAACATCTGGCTGGCTGGCATACCCTCCAATTGTATATTATCTCCTTCCATGATTCACCGACAAGATAGGTACTGACCACGTAGTTCCAGGCTCTACTTCAACAGTTTATGTGTCTGAAAGCTTATGGTACCCTCATCTGGATAAGTCGGATTCCAGCTGTATTGTGATAAGGCCCCAACGCCCATACAAAGCAGATCCAATCCGCTTCATCTTCGTCTTGGACAGCCACATAATCCTTAGATAACCTCCTCTCAATGCAACCTGTACTACGGGGCAATAGTAAAAGACTGCCTTTCTAGCCCACGAAAATACCCTCGATGCTCTCTTCCATCCAAACAGTCTACACATCCATAGCCTTCGTGATCCCTTAACCTAGATTGCGGGATGTATTAGTGTGAACATTTGCATCAATCTTAGAGTCCTTCCATATTTGTATATATACAGTATTCATTGGGAGAATGTACTACGCAGCTACAGAAGCACAGGTAGTATATTTCCCAAGAGTGAATTTCATCCTATACCATGCATTATCATACATTCACCAATCACATCATCATGCGTACCAAGTAGGTGGACCAAATCAAACAAGGCATGGTAGGTATCTCTCGCAAGATCAGGGAGAAAATGAGAAAAAAAATATCAACAGTTGAAATAACACAATGACGCTCCAGACGCCACGCTAACAGCAGCATAAAAAAACTTTTCTTTTTTGGAAAGAGTCGTTAAGCAACGCTCAAGAAAGGGGTATTGAGAACTGAAAAGGGGAGGGAAGAATGTAATTGTTTTCCTTCAAGGAGAACGGATTTACTCTTCATCAGTGCCCGTTTCGTCACTGAGATCATCGTCCGACTCGAAATCGTCAGCCTCACTATCGGATTCATCCTGGTCATCACCAGGGATACCGCGCCAGTGGATGTAGTCAGCTTCCACCCAGTGCCGGCTGCGGGGGAGCTGGTACGGGTCAAATGGGAAGTATGCATCGAGTTGATAACCGAGATCATCACCAGCACGAGTCTCTCGTTCGACTATGCTGAATCGCGGGTCTGCCAGGGCGGACAGATTCCGGAAAGATGTCATGCGGATTCGCTTATTCGTTTCAAGAATGCTGAACACGTACATCAAATTCAGGTGCTGGGACATCCGTGCGAACTCTGATACGATGGCGGGCGAGCACACCTTCAGCGGGTTCAGCTTGGAATAGATGGTCTGGTGGAGGGCTTCCTTCACCATTGGCGGGAAGGTGATGTCTTCTAGCTCAAGCTCATCTACTTGCTCGATGCTATCGCCCTCTGTTGCGGCAGTGGTCAGGTCCCGCCAGCGGAAGCAGAAAATGTAGAGTAAGGCCTGCGCGGTGGAGTAGAAGGGGCCATAGCGACGGAGATCAGGACCCCGGCAGGAAGGCTCGTAGAGGTCACGCAGATCCCGCAAGTGTCCGCCTAGCAGACCGAAGACATCTCGCACAATCTCACCAGAGATGTGTGCACCTCGGGCAACGAAACTGGCGAGGTATGCGGCGGCAGATTGACGTGTGATGGCTGGCTGCAGCTTATTGAAAACAATCTCGATGCATGCCGTGGTAAAGCGGTCAACAAGATCTGGGGACGACTGAGAGAAGTGGAAAAGGAGGAATTGGGAATGGCGTGAGCGGTAAGTCGGAAGGATAATGCTTTGAAAGTGGCTAAGTAGGAGATCGAGCGTATTCTCCTTGTCGTCCAAGGTGCCGGAGGCGAAGGTCGGCGTATAGTATTCAAACAGAGAATCAATCATGCCATCCAGCTTGAGAACGTTATCTTTTATCGTCTTAATCCGCCGAGACTCGGTATCTATCGAGTCATCGCTCACGACCGATGCATTGTCATCGTCATCGTCCTCACCAAAGACAATGGCCCCAGGAGAGACAGCATGCAGAACCTCCTCTTCCTCTTCATCATCAAGATCGTCCATGTCCACCTGAATCTGAACGTCGATCTTAACGATTTTTTCAGTGAGGAGAGCAAGGATGTCCGCCTGGAGTTCTGGGGTATAGCCAATTACTCTGATGAGGTTTTGCGTGTACGCAATGTTGGCCTTTGGAGAATCGGTATCAAAAGGAAACTGCATGGACAAGACGGGCGACAATGACCCGCTACCGGACGGGATCAAATGCACTATATGACGAAGAGCCATGTGGACCCGGGTGTAGATCTCCGGCACGAGGACGGGAGCATAGCCCGGCAGCTTGCCCGTGCCCTTGGGAAGCTCGCCTAGGTATGTGACGAGCATTTTGAGCACCGGTCCCAGATAGCTTCCCTGGGCGGCCGCAAGATTACCTAGGAAGCGAATATACAACTTAACGTAGGACTCGTCGCGCCCGAGCCATACACTGTTTAAAACAGCGTTGACCAGCCCGTTGCAGCTGCGATCCAAGGAAGCCACGTTTGACAGAAGGCCCAGAAGATGATATCTTAAAGTCGTGTGTGTAGGTACATCGTAGGAAAACATGCCATCCTCTTCCCCACGCCGGGGATCCACCGAGAAGATTTCTTTGATGCGGTCGTAGGCTTCACTGTCGGTGCCTGAGATATGCCGTTGAATAGCACGGCGCACCTCCTCGTGAACCACGGCCGCACTCTTCTCCGGGGCCCCGGTGTTCCCTTGCACCCTTTCATCGAACGAAACCATTTCAACCTCCTTGAACTGCACCCGAGCCCGCTTCCTCGGGCTGGGGAGCCCCTCGCCGTCGGAAGAACCAGAAGACGAGGGGGACAGGGAAAGATTCATATCCTCCATTTTATGTTTGATACCGGCCGTGGGGGTTTCCTTAGCAGTTTTCAAGATGGGAACAGGAGAAGACGTGGCTAGCATCTTGGAGCGGCTAGGTTGTCTAATTCCCGTTGCTGGGTTGCGCGAGGGCGTGGCGAGGGCGACCATGATAGGTCAGCAGGAATGTTCAGATATGCAGCTGGAAGGAAGGGAGACTTTGCTCAATGCTCGTCATTTATTGGACCCCAGAACTCTCGCTATAACACAAGCCGAGTATTGGAGAACAAGAGCACACGACACCGCCAGCGTGGTCAAACCTCGAATGTTTCGCTGATGCTACAGATGATAGGCGCACTGGGAGTTAATGGTGACCGAAGACAGCCCCATCTGTCATCTAACACACACAATATTGTAGCAAGCCGTGCATTAGACGTAAGCAGATGAGAAGGAGCTGGTCTTACGAGGGACACCGACAGAGGCGGAGAAGCATCCTGCTTGAAATTTTTCTTGTGGGGCATCAGTGGAGCTTATCCCCGTGACCAGCGCGTGACCGGCGCGTAACCGTGCACCACTCAGCGCCTGATTGGGCAATATGGAAGGCTTCCTAGTACCTACTAAGGAGTAGTAATGGCGTACTTTGTACTCAGGGTAGACTTGTAGATACGTGGTTTAGGTTTAAAACTGCAGGCATAGTCTCTAATCCTACTCGATTGAAAGCACAGAGATGAGACTCATCGTCCGTTCCTTCGATTTCGTGTACCATAACATAACCCATCACGAAAATACAATATGTAAATTGAAACATGGTCCACAAGATAATAGAAAAAAATCACACAAGGAACAGATCCTCTCCCAATGGTATAAAGCCGGTGAAAAAGCACACATAAACAGACGAATTCGTTAAAGAGCGAATATTAGTAGGTCATAACAGATGATGAGACAAAAATCCAGTTCTTTCCACTTCCGGTCGACGCCATCGAGCCGTTTCCGCATGACAATGAAGCTTCATAGCCACTGTCCGGAAGCAATTGGGCCCATTCGATCGTCAAAGATGCTTCCGTAAAGATCTTCAATTTCTACCAGGTATTCGTCCACGGTGAACTTCATCAGGCCTTTGTTCTGCAAAATAAGCTCCTCTTCATCGAGCACACGAGTGCCACCAAACTCTTCCACGACCTCATTCACTTGCTCCAGCTCCTTTCCAAAGGGGTGTGGTTCGGGGCTGGAGTATTCCTGGGCTGGGCGAACTGCAGGACTGCTGCGCACGGAATTTAATGGAGGAGGCGAGAGCCGTGAGATGGAGCGCTGACGAGCCAACTCTTGGTGGGAGCGCTTCGTATGGGAAAGCGCCCGCTTGGGAACCAAGGGCGCATCCGTAGATGATGCAGTCGATGTAGAGGATCGAGGATGGCTGGTAACAGTGGCTGAGCGCTTGGGGAAATATGACGATAGAGGGTTGGGCTCGACGGGAGAGTCGCTGGGTGTTGTGACGGGCGACCCGAAACTCTGATGCGCAAAAGATAATTCTGAGTCATCTGGAGATTGAAGAGATGACGTAGATGACGATCCCGCTGAATGAAGATCGGGCGCATTGTAAGCGAGCATATTCGTGGTGGACAGCAACTCCACTGGCGCTGAGATCTTGCCCCGATTGATGGTTCCAGCAGAGAATTTGACTTGGCCCTCCCGGTAGCATCGGTGCCGATACCTCGGGGCGCTTGTGGCGCTTGGTAAATGCTCGGGTCAGCGAGGACATGGTGGTTCCGAGAGTTTAAGCGATGCGATATAGTAGTCAATAACTTTCAACCAAGGAAGCGGGTTGAGGACCGTGATATAGGTTAATTGTATTGCAGCAGCTGTTTTTGATCAACTGTCACGTCAACTGTCACTCTTCCTTATCAAATAGTCCTCCTATTTTTAGTGCCTGCCAAACGTTCGTTTGCGGTACCGATAAAGAATGCGTGGTGGATGATTGCGGGGTTGGCCCCAGAAGGAATGGAAGGTCAGTGACTGGAATGTCCGCTATCAGATATGGACGGTGCGCTTTGATATAAGGTTCTTTTTTTAGTTGTTTTTCAGTCTCCGTTGCTCATCGAAGATCAAAGTTTCTGGATATTTCATTCAATGAAAGTTGAGGCGGAGATTCCTTTTTCTTGCACAGCAGAAAATCGGATGGTGGGAAGTCCGTCTCAAGTGGGTGGATTGCTCGACTCAAGGGGTGGAATAATTGCAGCAGCACTCTGTACTGGGTAAATCGGGGCGGACAACCAGGACGCGCCACGGGGTTTTAATAAGGAAGGGTAAAAAGTACCAAATCAAGGATGGAAGGAGGGAATCCAGGACAAGAGAATGGAATGAAAGAATAAGAAGTGAAATAATTGATCCAAGGCAAAAAATCCCCCAGGGAGGAATGGACCACGAAATGAAGAAAAGGAAGAAAAGAAAAGAGGCCAGTGAAGTATGTAATTAAACGAGAGGGGAAGAAGAAAAGGGAAGGTAGAAAAAGGCAGGGGCAGCGGCGAATGCCTTATGGGTGTGTTCCAGGCTTTTCGATCCACCAGGCTGATGGACACCCATTTAGAGTTTTACCTGCTTGTCCCTCTCAAGGTTATCCAGTCACCATCTGTTCGTCGGATGCTTCCCGCTTTTCCCACGGTTCGGTCAGTGACCTTTCTATGGTTCAAGCAGCCTGTTCCTTGGTGAACAATAGAAAAACTTTCGCCTTCTGTTAGGGACCCTGATTCTGGTGGTTTCTAATGCGTGAATTTCGGTCTTTTTCAGGTTCGAGAACCTATGTGTGATCCATGGGAAACCGCAAAGTGCCGATGTTGACCCAGAGTACGCCGTACGGAGTAAATATGGTATGTTTTCTCTTCCCCCCAGTACGGAAGTATCCCCCATAAGGAAGGGGCCCAAAAAATCAATCAATCTGTGTATCTATTAATGGAGAAGTGATTATCTCTGCTGACCTCAGGCAGACTTCTTTGCATGGTCCGGTCTTCCGACGGCCAAGACCACTTGATGTGACTATCCCACGCGGTTCCTTGCAACCTGCCATTCGGTAGATATGGTCGATGCGAAGCGCCGGGGCTGTCTCTCAGCTGCGTGGCACCTGTACGACGCAGAGTGATGGCCATTAAATTAAACCATAACCTAACCATTACTACTCAATACCCAGGTAACCTCTACGTTACCTCCTCCTGAATACCATCCCTCTCCAAGGAGAATAATTGTATCCTCCTTCGACCCGTGCCCTAGATACCAATATGAGACGGAAAGACCCCTGGTATCTCCGCCCTGAGACGAAAATCTTATGTCCCTGATTAATTTTTATTTTATTTCACCTCTCCAACGACGAAAAAAAGAGCAATCATAACGACCTAAGCACTATCGCACTGCAATGGCCAAGCGACGGTGCCGGAGTTGGTGTCAGGAACGGCAACGGAATGACCTCTCAGGAGCGCCATGTACCATCAGCAGTGGGGATGAAACAACTCTGCGGCCGCCGTGTCTCAGCGTATCGCCAGCCAACCAAAGTACTATTAGTGCTTGCATGACTGTGGAGTGTGTGATCTACGAAGTATGATAGGTAAACTTTCCCCCTGTGGTATATGATTGATCAGTCCAACATACTTCCCACTGTATGCTTTTAAGGTAGTATCAGTTTTCATTCATTCCTTTGTTTTCAGAGGGCCTATTTGTCGCACAAAAGCGTGTTGAGACTCCTGAGCCGATCTGAAATCTGATCCCGACAATGGGCTTTCGGTGTCAATGCGCGCGGGTCAACCCCACCCCGTGGGTAAACTTAATACACACAGTAAATTGTGGACTTCGTTTACAACTCTTTTTATTGTCACAAGGGCCAACAGAGAGCGGATATATCACCCGCCATGGAGGTCCTTCTGATTAACGAGTTACCATGTCAGGTTAGCCCCCACTGCTACTTTTCTCGTCTCTGTCTTTTTCTTTTTTATCTCTTTATATTTTTTCAGCCTTGCTTTTTCTTCCCATGTGGAATTTGCAGATAATCCTGGTCGTACATAATGAAAGAAAATAACAAAAGCAATAACTGATATTGTAATTCTACCTGTCACTTGCATATTGTGAATTGGTTAATTTTTTTTTCTTTGTTTCCACGCCTCCCGCATCACACTGTCCCATCTTCCCATCGCTAAAGCGATACTGTGACCTCCATCGCCAAATCCCGGGTCACTTGAGTAATTCCTGTCGGCTTTACTCTGGAAAATTGAATCTCCAAATTAAAAGGTGGTCCTGATTGGCTGGACGGGCCGTTTCACACTAGGACCGTTTTCGACCAGGATCTGGACGATCGTTGCCATGTACAGACATGCCCTCCGTTCTCATTTTCGATCACCATTCAGTTGCAATTTAAATCAAACCGGGTATCAACGTTTTCATTGCATGTCAGACGGAAGGCAAACAGGACTATACACACAGAACGGACAAAAAAGCTTTCTACACTGACGCAATGCGCATACAATGGCATCCTTGCTTAGGATATCTTTCCCCGTTTCTAGAACCTCAGTCTTCATCCATCGACTCCCAGCCATCCGCACCGCCGGCGGCCGCACCAACCTCCTGCGCGGCGTCCTCTTCATCTGACTCATTCTGATCCGCCTGCACACCCACTGTGCGCTCCTGCACCTCACCTTCCAGACTGGGCAGCCGCGACACGAAAGCCCGGCGGACTGCGGCGTTGGTGGAAGTATCCCAGATCTGTACGACGCCCTTGCTGCCGGCCACGGCCAGTCGGAAGCTGACCTCTGGATCGGGGGCGAATGTAGTCGAGAAAACTTTGCCCACCTCCAGCTTGCGTGAGACGACCATGCTAGGCTTGTCGTTCTCGACGTTCCACAGTTTAACCTGCTTGTCTGTGCTACCGGTGACGAGGAAACCCGGAATGGCGGAGTTAATGTCGAAAGCTGACACCGAGTCGTCGTGCGCCTGCAGGGACCACACGGGTTTCGAATCCTTAGGGTTGGCGGGGACGTTTCGCACATCGTAGCGATAGACCATACCGCCGTCTGTCGTCACGTAGAAGTAGTTGGGATCGTGCATATCCCAGCGTACGTTCTCGACATCTGTGTCCACACCCCACCGGGCCTTGGAGTCGGGGGCTCTCATGTCCGCGGCCACCACGGTGCGGTCGTAACTGCCACTCAGCAAGACGGTGGACTCCTTCGGGTGCCAGTCCAAGGAGCACACCTTGTCGGTGTGGTGGGTGTAGGACTTGGCGCATTTTGTGGTATTGAGATCCCAAAGTTTAACCGTTCGATCGGCCGAGGCGGAGGCAAGGAGATTGCGATGTTGCCGGTTCGCAGCCAGCGCGAGCACCGCGTCAACGTGGAACTCGTCGTTCGCCTTGGTCTTCTTCTTCTTTGGCTTCTTGGCTTCACCTTCACCACCCTGGCCCAGGATGGCGTTGGGGTACATGCAGTCGACAATGTCCAGATCCCAAATCTCGATATCGGGCTCCATCGTCCCAACAGCCACGAAGTTTCCTGTAGTGCGGCCCTCGGCGGTCTTGCCAACAGGCATGTCCAACCATTCAGTGCAGAGAGGAATGGCCGGCAGCATGATGTCATGGTGCACGTACAGATTGGCGTCCTGGTCCTCGTAGACGTAGACCTCAAGGTGTGCGACTTCATCCTCTACCTTACCCGCAAGCACCAAGTTATCGGTGGGAAGAATCTGCAGTTCCTCTCTCTCTTCATCATCCTCCTCCGGTGGCATCACCAGGTACGGATCCGCCTCGTTAGGCTGGTGGTAAGCAAGGGACTTGACATTGCCGAACATGGTAGTCTTCTCGCCATCCTCGTCGACCTCATCACTGTCGTAATGGTCGAGATCATATTCCTTCAAGTCATCGTCACTACAGCCAGGTCAGCTTCAAGCATCCAACCAACCCGCGCACGGCCAGAAAACACATAAACATACTCAGCATTGGCTGCCTCCGTCTTCTTTCCCGAATCCTCCTCCATAACATCCTTCTTGTCATCCTCCTCCATAGCCTCATCCTCCTCCTCATCCCCATCCCCATCCTGAGCAGCCTTCAGATCACTCTGAGCATCCTCAAGCTGCATCTTCGCGAGAGTCGATATCCGATTCATCTCCTCTTCATCAATCTCATACTTAGTCGGCATCTGGGCCGCGACACCCCGTCGCACCCAGGAAGTAGTTGTAATCATAGAAGACATCGTGAAAGGCAATTAAAAAGAAAAACCAGAATCGGAAATCGTCAAACTTTTAAGGTCGTAAAGATGCGAGCAAATCTATTCAATAGAGAAAATATTCAAAAAAAAACTTTTATCTTTGAAATTCCGTAAAAGAATCATTAAATTGACCTGATCAAACCAGTGTCAATATGATCCACAAGAAGAAGAGTCTTGTGGATTGCGATAGTTAGATAGAGCGTCAACGCTGGTTGCTCTTTTTTCTTTTTTTTTCTTGATGGCCCCTCAGTTTCCGCCCGGCAGAACTTCGCTCATGGCTTCACCGCCCGGGATATGGATTCGGAGATTTCTCGTATGCGCCGCTTTGATGATCTATAATTCTACGTTGGGTTTATCTTGCAACTTTTGGGGGAAATCAGAACCTCTCTTATTTTAGAAATCTACGGAAAGGAAAACTAGATCCAAGATGCATTCCCACCTCCACACACCCTACAATGCCAGTCCGTCACTCCCCCATTCCTTCCCTTACGACCAACCCCCAAACTAACTTGAATTGAATGACAGATTGCGAAGCAATCATGACGGCGTTGGACGAATGCCACGCCAAGGGCTTCCTGCACAAGGCCCTCGGAAACTGCAACGATATAAAGCGCGACGTGAACAAGTGTCTGGCCGCGGAGCGGTACGAGCGGGCCAAGCGGAACCGCGATGCGGCGAGGGAGAACCGGAAGCGAATCGAGAAGATCTGGGCGGATGAGAAGGCTTTTGAGCAGGGATTCTCGTCTACGCCTCGGGTGTTGGGGCTGAGAAGAAGGATTAGGTTTGGTTGGTGATGGTGGAGGGCTGTATTGTATGTTGATTGATTGCATTGCTGTGTTGGATGGCGGATGGCGTTTTGGGATCTTCTCTTCTCTTCTTTGTTCTTTTCTTTCCCTCTCTTTTGGGTCTATGAGTGAGTTGTATGATTAGATGGGGGTGTGGACTATGATGGGAATGAATGGGTGGATTTACATCGATTGTGTTCATTGGAATATACACTGGGTTAAACTGATGTAATTGTCTTTTGCCCAACCGGAACGCCATACCATGAATAACGATATCTTTTTCATCAACAAGCAAGCACGCAGGTGGAAACTGCTCACTCCTCCATCGTGACAGCAGGAGCCGCATCGCCTCCATCCTCGCCTTCATTTTTAGCGCCGCGATTATGATGACGTCTCCTCCGCTTCGGCTTGGGCGCAGAATCACCATCTTCCGTCCTCTCCGTAGACTCCTTACCCTCTCCATCCTCCGTGGCCTGCCTCTTCTTCGCAGGCCTATCCGACTCAGACTCCCTCTTCTTCGGCTTCTTAACACTCAAAGGATTCGGGCCCTTCACCTTCTTAAATCCCTTCTTCTTCTTCTCCCCATCTCCACTCTTCTTCGGAGCCGCATCATCGTTCAACCCAGCCCTAAACTTCCCACTCTCATACCCATCCCGCAACTCCTCGCTCAACGAACTCATCGGCTCCAAAACCATAACAGACCGCTTCACATAAACAATTGGCACACCGGGGATAGCTCGCGCAGCGCTCCTAAACATCCGCGACTTTCTGAGCGCAACCTCGGCCTCATCGACACCGCGCTTCCGCTTCTTGTCGTTCTGCGACGAAGCCTTGGGCGTCGCCGGGTCCGCCGTAGCGAGGATATAATGCTCCTTGTTCCGCTTGACGTCTGCGGACGGCGAAAGAAGAGAAAGCAGGCACTCTGTTTCGTCGATAGGGGAGGCGTCTTCGTTGTGGGAGCAGTGGCGCAATGGGAGGACGGTGGGCGGGGGGAGTTGTGCGGGACGGACGGGGTTGTTGGTGCGAGGGTTGATGGGTTGGTTGGCCATGATGGCTGCTAGTGAGCATTTTGTGAGGACTATATATCATGTCTTGTTAGTGATTATCTTAAGGACATGACCGGTGTGTTATTGGTCTTTGTGGCTTGGTAGGTGGGGTGTGGTTGAGACGTACGAGGCTTGACTTTGCCCTGCAGTGTGCGCTCGAGGTAAGGGAGTAGCTCCATCTTGAAGGAGTGTACGGCATTGAGGAAGTTGGAGTCCACTGTATTCATTTGTTAGGCGACTTTCATTCTGGGATGCGCTTGGTTGCGGCTTACCTAGGACTTGGTATGGTTCGCGGAAACCGAATGCGAGCTCATATTGATGCATGAGCTTGCGGTACTTCTTTGAGCGTTTGGCCCTCATTTTCACGGGTAGGTGGCGATGAGGGAATTAAGAGTGAGAGTGTTGGGTGGGAGCTGTGTTGGTGATTGCGTCGATTGATTTTCTTAGATCGAAACTTTTTTTTCTGATTTTGCCGGGCGGAATGTCGCTACTTTGGATGTGGTCCGTGCGTTATCTAGATTTGGGGGAGTTTTTACGATACTATGACAAAATTGATAGATTGGAAATCTAGACTGAATATGAGTACTCGAGAAATAAGGAGATATAAAGAAGAAGAAGAAGAACAACGGCAGTATTATCTAATTACATGAATCGTAGTTTCAAAATAAATTAACCATAAGCAAATCATTCCCCGCCGGCTATTGACTTGCCATGGTTGATGTGCATATATGTCCATAACCTCGTGGCTTCGGCATTCATGTGCATGCCTTCTATAGTAACGCTTTTAATGTCGAGTGCGCAGTGCTTGGATGCTTGGGCGCCTGGTGCGACATGATACGGTTCAGCGTCAACTCGCAGGTGGGAAGGTCAGGAGTAGCTCCCGGTTCTAATAACGTATCGTAGTCCAACCCTCTAGGAACCGATATATGGCGTCGGACGCGTCAGGATAAAACCTGCAGGTGATATGTTTCTAGATGTCGTCTGGTAGTTTGATTGAAGCTTCAAAGCCTATTGCGTGCGTCCGGCTCAAGAAGCCCTCCTCTTGCAGGAACCAACCACCACGCTAATGTCATCCATTTTCCCTATTGCAAGTCAATCAGCTGCTCACTATATTGCAGGGAGTCTACTTACCCCCCTCAATAGCGAGACCTTCTTCAATTGCCTTCTCCATAAATGGGCTCTCGGCGAACGGATCCTGGGCAATAGCCAGAGCGGATTTGAGCAGCTCGCGCGCCACAAAGACCATGCGTTCTTCTGCCAGCACCTCCGGGGGAGCCCACTCAAGGTCTGTATTGTCATACCGTCCCTGGTTCCACTTCTTGATGCTATCAAGCGTGATGGACAATATTTCATGTTCCCAAAGATTGTCTAGAACGCCGTCGGACACGGCAAGTACGACATCCTCCTCCTCCAAATCCACTTGAGACATCACTGCATCCTTCCGCGGTGTGTCCACGCTGTTGGTCCCCAGCTGCATCGGGCAGTCGAACCAATGCCATTGTTCCTTGGTCCGAAACAGGATCTTCTCCTCGCTTGGACGGATAACCATCAACTTGCAATCGCCTACATTGGTCACGTAAAGTAAAGGCTTCTCGTTTCCCGTATCATCGCAGGTCCAATGTAAGATCGCAGTGACGGAGGTCGTTGTTCCGTACCATTCGTTAGGGTCGGTCGTTGCCCTGATGGTTTCTTCGTAAGCACGTTGGAGGTACTCGACCGGATCCAGCGGCGCATCACTATCAACTCCCCGTTCGACTTCTAGAGCCCAGAAATGCAGTAAAAGCCTGGACCAGAGTCTATCCGAGCATCAAAATGAGCATGACTCATCCCCTAAGAGACCCAACAGTAAAGGAAGCAGAAACTCACGCAGCATGACCTCGTGGCTTGGTAGCCCACGCCCCCACGCCATCGTCGACCCCGAGGAAATTATCCGCAACCAAAACGGCATCGTCGCCGTTGTTCAGCCCCCTGACTAGTTCGCCCTTGACGGATAATCTCTTATCCTGACTGTGGTAGTGGGTAGTCAACGGGTCGGAAAAGGACGAGGACGGCGGGGACAGGAACGGTGGGGGGAAGGGGCGCGACGGCCGTTTGGCGCAGAGCGCATACCCCGTCTGGAAGCAGAATGGAGATTTCCTAGATCCGGAACTGGGGAACGGAGGAGGGCGATCCGGCACGGGAGTGGTGATGCCGTAGGACGGCCACGCAGCACGGCTATACCGTCGCACCCCGGTTCTGGGTCTTCTGAAGTTTGCGATCCACTGTGGATTTCGCGGCCACGGAGATGCAAAGGAGGATATTAATACAGTCGCCGAAGTCGATACGTTTTTGGGCACCATGCCCGCTAGAACGGTTTTCTTTTTTGTGGTAGAAGAATAAACAAGTTGCACGGGAGTCTTGACTCCTCACTCCGCGCACGATTTACCTTGAGGTAATTTATTTTTCTTTCCTCTTCTTCCCGGTTTGCTGGGACAATACCATGCTGGGATTATCGCGATAGTAGCGGTGGAATGATCAGCTTTTTTCTGGATCACAGGTTACGTTTGTTGAGCCAGTAAGCATTCAGGCACATGGCATGCTGTGACTAATAATAACCCTTCAGCTTAGCCATTTAGTTCAGTCAAAAGTTTGGCTTTTCTGTTGGTGTTGGGACGTTTTTTATTTCCTTACATGTTCCGAGTGTTACCGCGTACATTACATCATAGGGCAAGGTACGGTCAAGGTACAGCGCATCAGATTACAAGAATAGTATCTTTGGGCCAAATGGGGGCCGCTAAAGCAGCTTGTAGTTAGTTACATCTCCCTGATCGTCATCAATCGAGTCGAATGATGCTGTGGATCGCCCTACTATCACCCAATCTGTAGAAGAACCTGGCCTCATATCATCCCATATCCCCCTCTTCTTCCGCTCCCCGAAACAATCAATGAGTATCATCCCATATCAGAGCTTCGATCCTGACTCGAGGACTTCACCCCGTTAGCCTTGCGGGGCGTTCGGCGCTGGGCTTCGATCTCACTGTCCACTAGAAGAAACGCCCGGTCCAGCTCCAACGCGATCTCGATATCATCAATGTCTCGTTTAATTAATGAAGCGCATTCGAAGATCGCCTTTGCAAGATTGCTGCATCGGGTAGCGAAGTCGCGTGTTCCCGGGGCCTTGCGATGTTTCGCAAGCATTATCTGCATCATACGGTCTGCGCAGGGACAGGGACGTTCGGGGTCCGAAGTACATTCCCAGGAACAGATGCACGATGAGCGACAGATGCATTTTCTCTCCTTCATGTAGTCGCTCGGGAGACGTCGCTCGTCCACGCGCCTGACGTCTCCGATGCCTTTGCCTTCCATCTTGGCTAAAGCTGCCTGGCGATGGTCTTTGACGAGCTCCCGCTCCCAAAGTTCCGGATCGACACTGTCGCGGTCAACGAATGGAAGATCCGAACCAGTAACTGTCAATACAGCCTCCGGTTTGGGTATAAAAGAAAGGTACTTCTCGGACTGGACTGTGAGGATCTCCTCCGGCGGTATTTGATAAAGGAAGGTGTCGTGGTTCCACTTGGAACGGAACTCGGATGAGGTGTCGCTCACAATTCCCATAGTATAACGGCGGTATCCGAGGAGATCGTCGAGGAAGAACTCTGTGCCAATCGCCCTCTCCATGGCACGGCGGATGAATTCATCCTGGTGAACTCTGATGAGATTCACATTGACATGGTTGCAAACGGTTGGCGCTTCGAGGGTGTCTTTGCAGTGCGCGAGGATCTTCAGCAAATGATCGGGCTCTGGGAGAGTGAACCCATCCTTGCGGGATGTGCGTCGGAGTTCCAAGTTGAAGTAAGTTGACAAGTCGACGTTCGCTATCTCCATTATCAGCCTCGCATATACGGAATAATAAAGACTTTCAGCGGCCTCAATAAGCTCAGTAATCGAGTTGGACGTCACAATTTCCTCCGCACGTCTGATATGGGCCGGAACACTGTCAGGGATGTCTTCTACCTATGGCTGCAGTCAGTTCAAATCCCCTGCGACAGAGGATAGCCAGATTGATCGCCGAGCGCATGGCCGGCCACGTACCTCGATCCCATAGTACCTGAGTATTGTGACGATGATCTTAGCGACGGTGTAGACTTTGGAAAAGACGGACAGCACGCTGTGGAGCCAGTCGGATGCATCGTCATCAATAGCACCTTCGAGGGCCTTGACAGCTTCAGAAAATATGTTCCACTCGGGAGAACTAATCGTATAGGGCAGGGCAGGGCGCGGAATTGGCGCCATGAGCTTGCACCTTGTCAGTTCCCACACAGTAAGTCAGGTTTCAGGATAGCTGACTTACAGCGGATGAATATGAAGCCTCTGTGCTGTCGGATTGGCGGTAGAGTAAAGCCTCGCGGCGTCTGTTTTCTTGCTCTAACAGAGCCTGGGAGTACATGTAAAAGCCATCGGTATGTTCGCTGGTAGTGGAGGACTCGAATGACAGAAACGTGTTGCGCTCATCCGATCGCGATCGCGATGCTCGCCTGGGGAAGATCTTGTTCAGAGCAGAGTCCCAGAAATGGGATGCAGACCTGTATCGCTTCATACTGGTGACTCGGTATTCTGAGAAGGGTTCATTTGGCAATGCATCGACGTGAGGTTAGGTTTGAAGAGAATCATCCGAAGATAAGGTGAGAAGATATCCAGAAGCGGTAGAAGGCAAGATGCGGAGTGAAGGGATCCATACTCTAGACAGTGAATGAATGTCTCAAACATTGTCAGTGGAGAGGGAGAGATAGTGGTTGGTGTTACTGTCCATTTGGAGGGGTGAAAGCGTGAATACGGAGGGTGTGTCAGAGAAAAAAGATAACAGCTTGAACTCATGTTCTTTGGCTGTTCCTGCATCTTGTGGTGCTCGGCTTTCGCTTCCATGTCTGCTCATTCTAGGACGTATAGACAGAAATCAAAGGTGAGTATTAAACTCTCTGATCTTTGCACTATCCAAGGAAGCCGAGAATCTCAAGCCGTCTCCATGAAACAAACAATGCCATTATCTACTTATAGATGTTTGCCATCTCACCAACACTGAACCCCCAGCTGTGCAACACAGCAGGGCTATCCACAACCCATAGAATCTTCACGAATGTCGTACACATTACAGAGACTCTAATACACATCATACACTCTTTGCTATGCTGCTGTGTCTCCTTGAACTGATTGGATAGCAGAGCACTATGCTTGTCAATAGGACTACATATCTATGAATTGCCATGAGTTTCAGCCCACCGCGTAACAACTAGAAATAGCGCCAACGAGTGTGGAGGTTGCCACGTAGCTCATAGGGTACAACTGCTCGAGTACAACACACAGGATTCAGTACTGAAGTTTATTCCATAGAGACGATAATAGTGACATATACGAAAAGAGATATCAAGTATTGATTACATTAGGGTAAAGATAAGAACGGTTCTATCTGTCAATCGTCAAAAGCCATGCTGTTGCTGAATGAAACGCCGTGGTTCTGGGTGACCATGAATGCAACGACTCCGGGAGAGAAATGCTTAGAAAGAAGTGGGTATGTGTGAATGAATGAGGGAAGGAACAAATACAAAATGAGACATCATCACGTCGTAAATACCAGAATCAGACAGGCAAGTAGAAAACTACAGAAAGGTAGGATCAACCTCGATAGGGGTATCCTCTTCATAGTTATAGAACGGCAACGTAATATCAGGGATTTTCCAGATTAATTTGTTTGCCCGTTCAACATACCCAGACGGAATATTCATGCATTTGCTGAAGGAGAGGGACTTCAGGAGCCATGTGCTGTTAGCCTGCTATTGCAACTAGTACTCATCAGGATGGACTTGACACTCACTTTCAGATTCCTCAAGCCTCTCACCCATTCAAGGCCACTATCACAGGCTTCATCTGCAAAGCCCTCATAGTCATCAACAGGATGTGTGAGGATCTCGTGGCAGTTCTCCAACCAGAGAACCTCAAGTCTATCCCCCGGTGCATAGCCGTTATCTGTTTCTGCAGGGTCGTCCGGATCTTGTTCAATGCCTCCCAACCAATTCAAGAAATCTGGCTGTGCACCATGGCAGGTTTTCAATTTCAACACTGTAAGATTAGGGTTTTTCTTCACGAGCATCGTCAACTGCCACGGTGTAATGCCGGTGCGCTCCAGTATCAAGGTCTGCAACCCGGAAACACCGATATGCTTGTACTGTCCTATTCCAATGAGAAGGTTCCACGCAATGCTGCATGGAGCCGGATACCGCCAGGTACTCGGCTTGATATGGCCATCTCTGATGTGCTGATGTTCAAAGCGAAGCGCCAGGTGGCGCAACCCATACTGACATCTGGTACCTAGTGCCATTGCGCTCTCGATGTCGATATCGTACGCCATGAACTCGAGCTTTACAAGTGAAGGCCCGTACCGATTCACTACTCTAGAGAAGATTCGGTTCTGAGTTCGAACTATGTGTTCCTGCATCATCGACGGATCCCTCGGACATCGGAGTTTTGCATCCTTCGTCTTACTTAGAAGTTTAGAAGGCAGCGTCGGTTTTATAGACTTGACTTTCGGCCGGATAATGGAGATAGTGTAATCAGAACCGACCTCCCTTTCGACGGGAAAGGCTGTCCCCAGTTCTTCCCCCAGTTGATCTGCCTTGATCCAGCCCGCTTGGAGACAAGATATTATGGAATGGGTTCGCTTCTCGAAGACCCCCAGTCGTAGACATCGGAGGCAGAGAATGTGCGATCGGTGATTGGTATGACACGTCTCCCCAAAAGCCAGCACTGACTCAAAAGGCAGGTACGAAAGAATCTGAAGGACTATCTCCAGGGGGAGAGAACTGAGTCTGTCAGACATGGTGGGCTTGTATGGTGACTTCCAAATAGTTGGGTATGACTCGGGCACTTGTTCTCTTAGACGATACGAAACATTAGTCACTTAACTTCTGCTGATCTTAAAGGCGTCCTGATAGGCAAAAGAAAAGGAGAGATAAAAGTTCAAAGAAGGAAAGAGGGTCTGGGAGGTAGGGAGGTTCGCAAGCCTGCCTTGGTCAATGACAGGAGCGTTCGAACATCGCAAAGAGATCAACGATGGAAAAATGAAGGGGGCTATGATAGGTTATTCTAAGAGTGCAAAGCCATTAAGTGAAGCAGGCATGATCTATCAAATGCTTGGTGTGAAGAGATATCAATTCCCTATCGTCGTATGCTTTCAAGGGATAAGAGCTGCTTAGTTGGCAACAGCGGTGTTGCAGGGGGGAAATGAAATAGAATAGAATAAAATAAAATTAAGAACAACGTAAAATGGAAGAAAAGTACATGAAGGATTATAAGGAGTACATATATTAAATTATGTTAAATCAGGTATTTCTCAAAGCCAAAAGGGAATCAAGGAAACATTGGAGACATGAATGTCTGTCATCGCGCCAGAGAAGAAAACACAACTTACAGGTCAACCAATTGTGATATGGCCTGAATTGTACAATTGAATATGCCGAGTTGTATTATCTATTGTCATTCCAAGGGTGAAATGCAGTAAATCCCAATGCCGTCCATGCAGGGAAGAAAGTTTGATGAGGCAGCGCAAACTTGAGGTAAGTGTAGCCCGAAGAGAGAATGCGCGGTGGATCAACTTCAGGTTAAGTGATGTCAAGTAGCCGCTGGACATTGGAATCCATAGGGATAAATCGTCCCCAGTCAATCTTACTTATGGGCTGGCCACATGAACTCCCAACTTGGCCGCATACCGTGATCGACTTCCCGAACCCCTGCAATGTCATTCACTTCCCACAGGTGAAAAATAATACCTCAAAGGTCAAGTAGAAAGCAAGTATGCGGGAGACAGCGGATTTGGGGCAAAGAAATTCCCTGGGGTTGGTGATTGGGTGCCACCAAAGTTGTTCGTGGTGGTTGCGTGCTGGATAAACACCCGTATGAATCAGTGGACGTACAGGAGTCTTTTAAAGAGACAGAGTAACATCCTGCGAGCCTTGGGGTGGTATTTTTGTTTTATTTGCTTGCTTTCTTTTTTCCTTTCCCCGCTAGACCCATAATTAATTTTTTCTCCATTTTCTTCTTCTTTTTCTTTCTTTCTTTTTTGTTAAAATGACTTTTTGTAGTAAGCTTCTTGGGACGCCAAGGAGAACCGATCCTGACTGTCGGAATTAGAAAAAGCAATTATAATGTGTTATTGACTTTTTCCCACCGCATGGAGCCTTTGTAATAGGTTACAGAAGGTTCAAGTCAGCCGCGTTAAGATCTCACCTTCTGGACACCGCTGAGGACCACAAGCATTCCAGAGTTGGACAGAGCTATACTCGTCTAGGGAAAAGGATGTATCCGCCGTTCAGCCCTCCTTGCAGCGGGGGAGGTGACACACGACCAGATCCCCGGTACCATCCATCCAATTGAGGTCTCCCAGCTGATCCGATATAGTAAGACGGGGTGATCATTCTGCGTATTCACTATTCACTAGTTGTCGCACCGCCAGGGGGGGTTGGTTACACTTCCCCATTTTCAGACGTCCCGACGATCCGTTATTGGCCCCCAAGAGGTCTTTGCTTTTTGCTAGCTGAGAAGAGGCCCGAGCTGATTGCACCGGTTCTGCGGTTAGTGACACCGAGGGTGCGGTCACTGTTGTAACACGAGTCATGCCCCGCGCGCTCTGGTCGAATCCCGAGCCTCCGTAAGGTTGAGTGCTCCAGGCGCCATGCAAGTTCTCCCAGAGGGAAGGGTCAAAAAAGTCAAAATGATTACAACGAAGGAAATGGAAGGGGTAGAACATTGAAACGATCGTCACCGGCTGGATGGTTTGTGTTTGTTGGGAGGGGCCTGGGGCAGACGTAGACGGCGGTGAAGAAGTGATACATCACAATGGGTCTATATCCACTGCAATTTTGCCAGTCGAGACACGTCCTTCTCTTCACCATTCTCTTTAGGCGGTAAGTTTCGTTGCTTTTTCTTCTCCTGTCGGAGCTCGGTCCCCCAATCTACTCTGGAGCATGTAGATTTCATTGAATTAATCATCCATGGGCTGCATCGCATCAGTCCACGATCTCTACCCGCAATAGCTCCCAAATGCGATCTGCAGGGATGCAATCGAGATTGTCATCGTTTCACTTCACGGGTGTTGCCTGTCCGGCAGATATTCATTAGGTCAGACGGCAACTTGCAGGAGTTCTGTCCTCGGCCGAGTGAAGCAAACACTGTGTGTAACAATCTTGAAATTAACGTGAGTGGATTGACAGCTGAGTGAGAAGAGCCCGCAGGAAAAACTTTCTCTATTCCTTGCCTCATAACACTTGAATTCGTCTATATACATTCATAGTTTTGCATGGAAATGGGACAGTCAATCGCCTAATGACAACGACCATTGTCGCCACAACCCTTCCTGATCACCTCCGGAGCCTGCGACGTATCTAGCCTGCAGAAGCAAGATGCCTTGATAGGGATATCTGCCACAGCCAGCGCCAGCTTTAGTGTAGGCTCGATCATAGCCGCCTGTTCCGTCTTCCCCAGCCGCACCAAGCATTCATGGTAGCCCTGAAGGGACCAGACATTGTTCGGGTGCCGCCGGGGCCGGATGAGAGTGTTATCCAGCCCAAGGTCAGCCCGATAGACACTCTCAGCCTTCTCGATTTGACCCTGTTCCAACATAAGAGCAGCGTAGGCATGTCGAGTAGGTTGCATCCAGGCCCAGGGCTCACTGTACGGAAGCCTATCATCCAGCTCGATCGATTTGCGAAGGCTGTTGAACGCCTGGTCGTACTCTCCGCGACGGTATTCGATTTCTCCGTCGAGCATGGCAGATGCCACAGCTAAGAGATCGGCGCACTTGCTATTATATGCCCGACGAGTCTCTGGCACACGTGTCCGAGCTTGTTGGAATAGTTCCCGTTCTTGTTCTGCTTCGCTAACTCGTCCCGTCGCTGCATATGCGACTCCCTTGGCATAATGAACCATGGCCGTTTTGACCGTGTATAGCTCTTGGTCATGGGGCAGTTCCATCTGAATAATCTCTTCCCACATACCAAAGCGCACCATGACATGCACGCGCACGGTCATAAAATTCTCCAGCCAGTCTGCCATGGGAGGGGATTTCATGCGGAGTACCTCCTCTGGAACAGACGCCTCCATACGATCAACGGCATCCATGGCAGTTTTGAGCTTTCCAGCGAACATAGCAGCATAGATCAGCGAGTGGTAATCATGGAGACGGTAGAACGTGTAGAAATTGACGGCCCCTGCGCGACGCAGGAATTTGTCATCCGCGAGGGTTGAGTTATAGTTAGACGCGATGGAACGGCGCCAGTCACCAACCAAGATATCTAGATGAGTAGGCATGTGGTGTAGGTGACCAGCATCCGGAACTAGGTCACGTAAATGGTCGCCAGCGTTCATGCCCAGCTCGGGGGTGGGAGACATCTCAATGTAGTGGATGTACAGGTGCAGAAGACCGGGATGTTGATAAGCACCGTCTTGCTCTAATGCCCGTTCTAGCACTCGTTGTACGTCGGCTGTCGGGGCACCCTTGACAGGCTGGCCTGTAAACAGATCCCACAGGGCCCACGGAGTCAGATTCATCAGCGCATCCGCATATAGCACTGCGATATCCAGGTCGCTGCCGTACTTTTCGTACGCTAATTTCATGGCGGCAGCGTATTCTGCGCTCGGCACTGAGTAGTCGGCCAACGGGGTTTCACTGGGGTAGCGCAGTGTAATGGCGTCGGCGAGCGCCTGCTCCCAGGGCGCGGCATGGACTGATAACTCCTTTGCCCGCTGCGATGCGGCAAAGGCACGTCGTAAGCAAACAGCTAAGTCTTGCGGATCAAACCGATCCCAACCTTTATTGTAATTGGGCCCCAGTGCATACGCCAATCCCCAGTGGGCCATTGTACATGAAGGATCATGGGCAATTGCCTGTTCAAAGCAGTAGGCACCTTCGATATGATTGAAGGCATAGCACCAGGTCAGTCCACGATTGAACCATGTTTGTGTATCTGCGCTGGTCGTGGTGATGGTGTGTCCAAAAGATCCAAGATCATAATATTCAGCACTTGCCGGTACAGCAGGAGAATTTTCGGCAGAGCCCATTATGATTTGATGAAGAGAACGAAAAAAAATGAAAGAGATGAAGGAAATAAACACACTGTACAACAACTCGCAAAGATGAGGAGGGGAGAGGGGAACCTCGGAGTCCTTTTATAGCAGCATTAGACGCTACCCTATATCGTCATACCACTTCCCATGTGCAGATTGGCGACATACTGCTCCAGCCCATGGATCGGTGTTTGGTTGGAAATGGAGCCAGGTAATGGATATGATTCGTTACGATCCCCAAGCCCACCATAGCCCTAAGTCCGTGGATCCACACCTAACTTCAATCGCCGACTATTGAGTCAAACCATCATTACTAGCAATTGAGGATATGTAATTCATGACTCTCTCTGACTATCTACTATAATACAAGAAATTACACATTTTGCATTTTGTGCAGAAGAGTGCAATGTCAGCGCGCAGTCTAAAGTCTATACCAGTTCTGCTTATAGTCCTTTACCTCTCCCACTAATCCTCGCCATAATACACATGCTCCCGACTCAATTCAGGACAATGTAGCAAAGCAAACCCCTTCAACCTCCCGTACCATACCAACGACGCCCTCGAAAGCAATATCCGCTCTCATGGACGCGCTCAATGATTCAAGACCATGTCGTAGCTCCTCAACCAGCCGCTCGGCATCCTGCACCTCTGAGCCTGGCTCAGGCTGGCTCAATAGATGATAACACGCCTGCAAGTCGCCCGAAGACAATGAGGTGCGTACTCTTCGTAGGAGCATCGTGAGGGCATAGAAGCTTTGCATCTGGCAGCAAGCCATATATGGAAGCGATCGAGGACAGAATCGAGACAGGGAGGACCCAGGTAATGCCTCGCTATCGGCAGGTGCATCGGTATAGTATAGATTTGGTGGTGTTAGGTTGCGGAAAACTCTGGACACGGCGAGTGATGATTTCAGGCATATAGCTGCGGACTCCTGCTCCGTGAAGGGAAATGTCGCGTTGATTTTGGTTATCCGACTCGGGGATAGGGGGTATGAGATGTTCAGAAAGTCGATACGGTTGATTGAGGTGAGACCACAGTGTTCACCTAGAAATAAAGGGTGATCCAGGAAAGCCCTGAACCGATGCAATCTTATTCGAGCGCTAGATGCAGAATGAGTCAGAATACCAATTTCTTGCGTTGATGAAGAATCATCTGTGTGGGTGGGCTAGGTAGGTAAGGACTCACCTGTGAATTAAGGCACTTGTAATTGCCCATAGGTTTCGAGGAGCGAAACATTCGGCTCCTTGCCGGTTTGTTACACATCGATATCGATCGGAATCGGCGGCGAGTGATGATATCAGAGAGTTAAGCTCGCGAATACGATCAATTAGGGTGGGCGGTTGACTAGATCTACTGTCCTCTTTCTCGAGCTCCTTTGCTAGGTTGCATGTCCGAAGAAGTGTATCTTGTGCTTTTGCCAACAATGGCCAAGGCTGGTGTATGTGTAAGTAGAGTATTAGGGGCTACAGTCAAATGGGGGGCCACACCTCAAGACAGCCACGGAATACTGGGTATGGTGTGCTGATCCGAGGATCATTGATGAGGATGATCGGACTCTGGCTTAAGTTAGTTGAATTGTTGATAAACTAAGGGTGACAATGGGTCAGTTTCCATATTCATGTAACTTACCGAATTATTAAGGATCGAAGAATGATAATTGAGAAACATCTGCACCAAGCAAGTAGTCTGTGAGTAGGGTAAACGGATGCAAAGGCAGGTAAACTGACCGTCATCCACCAGGCTCGACTTTGTGCATCTGAACAGCCCGGTTCGTCCGGATCGGTAGTGTGTAATGACAGATCCACCGCGGTTGTCAGCGCCTGGTTAGCTCGAGCGCGCATCTTCGAGAAGTTGCCCCGCTGGCAAAGCTCATACATGCCCAGCAATACAAGAGCCAAGATGGACTCCAGCTTCCGCGGGAGATCGGGGTGCAGCGAGCTCCACCGGGTCGGACCGCCAGCTGTAGTTGCCGGTTCGGGGACGTCAATCCAATTTTCAATGCTGCTCATTGCGGCATGTGCATAGAGTTCGGCGTATGACTGGCGGGTCCTGACTGCAGCTTCAGACATGGAATGTGGATCTTCTGGTAGAGGAAATAGTACGAGGAGCGCGGACAAAGCCAACGCAAAGGGAGACGTCGGCCAGTAAGGCAAGAATGCCTGATTTGCTTGAACGGTTCGCAGCGAGATCGCAAATGGGCGGTCCTCATATTGAGCAACCGCCGGTGGGGGCAACACCGGAAAGTATGGGTGGATAAAAACATAGTAGGCGTTGACCCTTAAGCCACAGGGTACTGTATTAGTGGCTACATCATGAAGAATGTATGGAAGGTTTTAGCTTCAACGTACAGATCCGCCTCACATCCATATGCTCGTATTGCGAGTGACCCCAGCTCGAAAGCTGGATTACTGTTTTCGTCTGATGCGAGATCACTGGCGGATAAATCTCTGACATCCTGGATATTGGTGAATGGATAGGGAAGACCTTGCGTCTCTATTGGGCCCGATGGTAAGGATGGGGATGGCGTATCGGTTGCAGCAATGGCACGCTTCCTTGCCTTGAAGGCATTCCCTTTGCGCGCCCCGCCTCGTCGACTGGGCCGATAGCGACACTCCCGGCGATTGTTGTAGCACTGTTATCCTCTACGTTAAATCTGTCGATAGATGGGTGCGATTCCCCTTACATTGGTACAAGGATTCTGCCCATCGCAACGGGTCTTGATGGCACGGCTATGCAAATGGTCAGTCCGATCAGGCAAGATGAAAATAGCCAAGATCAACGATGGTTGACCCACCATGCAGACATGCCAGTTTCACAGGGGCCTTTATCGGGAGCATCGAAAAGATCCACCTAGGCAGGTGTGTAGTCTCCCTTGCGTATAGCAACAGCAGCTTTTATTCTCAAGACTTGAAAAGCGCAGTCCCCACCTATCGTTCGAGTTTCTACTGAGAGGGACTGCGCAGTCGCCGGTGGTGGGGCATGTCAAAATCAAGGTGGAGAACTGAATGAGTATGAAATCATTAGGATCCACGGAGAGAGGTTGATATCATCGATCTGTTTGGGGCACCTTTCACATCCGTATCAGACTTGCATGAATATAGAGTAGTTCCAAGACTCTCCACCACATCGTGAACCCTAAATTCGGCGACCCGGTCTTTGATCAGCTTGGCGTGGAGGCAAATGCCGGTTTTCAAACACCCCCGGCGATAATATTTAAGTAGGATATCTTAGTAGATAGTTAGGGTATATGTATTTCTAAGCCTGCTATAATATGATTTCCTCTTTGAAATATCGTCTTTCGATTGTGATTTGTGTATTACTATATGCTTCAGCCCGGAGCCGTTTCTCGAATATATAATGGATGAATATGCTACTAACTAGTTTCTTTTATATAAACTGTACGCGAATGCCTTCATGAACCAAGAAAAATAACAGTGATAGTACAATTAATGGCAAACCACATTCACATTCACCCTTATCATACAGATCTTAATTCTCACCACCGCCAACACACCAAAAACAATCAAAAAGAAAACAATGTCAAGCATCCACAAACTCAAACGAGCCTTACCCTGGGTTCAAACCCCAATAATCATCAACGCCCCGATGAGTGGCGCGGCAACCAGCGACCTCGCAGTAGCTGTCACCCGTGCAGGCGGACTAGGGCAGATTGGCTTCCTAGACAGCAAACGTTCCCTGGCAGGGCAGCTCGAACGAGCCAAACACCAACTACAAGACATCATGAACACGCGCAAAGATACCCCGGAGCCTGTACTTCCCATCGGTGTGGGGATGATAGTCTTCGATTCTCCGATTACACATTGGCTTTCACTCTTTTCCAAGTACAAACCGGCTGTGGTCTGGTTGTCGTTCGCTACGACAGACGAATTCAAGCTCTGGACGGAGGGGATCCGAAAGGCGTCACCGTACACTCAGGTCTGGATTCAAGTGGGCAGTGTGAGTGCCGCGGTGGAAGCTGCTCAGGCTTGTCGTCCGGATGCACTGGTGCTCCAGGGGAATGATGCCGGTGGACATGGACATGCGCTTGGGGCGAGTGTTATCTCGCTTTTACCTGAAGTGGCGGACGTGTTGCGAGATCGGGGCATTGAAGATGTTTCACTCATTGCGGCTGGGGGTATTATGGATGGGAGAGGTGTTGCTGCTGCGACTATGCTCGGTGCTGCTGGGGTGGTGATGGGGACGCGGTTTCTCGGGGCTGAAGAGACGGAGTTGCCGCATCAGTTTCGGCAAGCGGTCTTTGATGCTTCGGACGGTGGACAAGCTACCGTGAGATCGAGGGTCTTTGATGAGATGTGGGGACCTAGTCCATGGCCGGAGTTGTATGATGGACGATGCTTGAGGAATAGCAGTTATGACTATGTCAAGAGAGGGATGAGTATGAGTGATATGCGGATACAGTTGTACCGCGATCTTCAGGATGCTCGGGGCCAGCAGCTCGACTTCAAGGAAACTGTAACAGTTTGGGCTGGCACGGGTGTAGGCATGGTTAAGAAGAGTGAGAGGGCAGCTGATATTGTTGAACAAGTGCAGTCTGAGGCACGGAGAAGGCTGCAAGATGCAAGTTCTTGGCTCTAGACAAGACTGTCTTATTTTTCGCTCGCTATGCACTGTTGCACGATGATTCTCTGGGGTACCAAGATGAAGTTACGATACCGTGGTTGACACCTGTGCCGGACGAATATGAGACTCTCATCGAGTTTATGTCACATAATGTAGATATATGACTGACAATATATCGATAAGGACATATTCAGAAACCAGCAACAGTGCAGTCCTAGGGTCAGAGCTGATGATTAAGTGATAAATTATGTTTTCCATCACTGATATTGTATTTAGTAGCTCCGATGGACATGAGCCACCGTTGATGTCTCTCTCGCCATTGCAATTATACTACCTTGCTCTCTTCTCATCATTTGGGCAAATTAGTGATTGGGAAGCAATTCTAGACAGACAATACTCAGCCTTTGCTTGTCTTTTGTCCTGACTATTGCCTGGTTCTCTTCAGACGCCGAGCGGGCCCACCTTTATCACATCGGCCTTTGAGGGACAGCAAATAATCTATAGTTCGAATTCACGATACGTCAATATTGATTATGTTACTGATTCTTATCATGTTTCCGCATGCAGCCACATCTCGTGGATTATAGTGAGGGGTGTGGCGCACCTGTGGTCTAGAAATATAAACAGGAGGACGCATGCGCGAATCCCAAGTTGAACAATTCCCAATGTTGGATATATTGACTACATAACATCCCGTTTACCTTTGAAAAACAATATATCCTTACTCAAGTTTACTATAACCCCGAGAACAATGTCGACTGAACAGCCCGCTGTGCATTCCATCGCCTCAACCGCCGAATACTACGATCTAGGATCGTTCAAGCGTACAATTACCACGGAAAGCCCTGGAGCCCAGGAATGGTTCAACCGAGGCCTGATCTGGAGTTATTCTTTCAACCATGAAGAGGCCAAGCGGTGTTTTGAGCAAGCCATTACCCATGATCCATCCTGTGTTATGGCATTCTGGGGCTTAGCCTACGCCACAGGCCCTAACTACAACAAATCCTGGCGGCTTTTCGACCCCCGCGACCTCGAAGACAGCTTGAAGAAATGCTACAATGCCTCCCGAAAGGCCAAGGAATTGCTGAACAGTATTACCGCGACCCCAGTAGAACAGGGCCTCATCCATGCAATCCAAGCTCGCTTTCCAGCTGACCATCCGGCCTCCTACGATTTCTCCACCGTGGACAAAGCCTACGCCAACGCCATGAAGGAAGTTTACCAGTGCTTCGGAGACGATGACCTCGATGTAGTCACCCTCTATGCAGACGCATTGATGCACACAGCCCTTTCGGACTAACGAACGTTATAGGTAAATGAAAGGGGGTGAAGAGAAAAAAGTGTTTTGCTGCAGTCTATACATTCTCAATTAATCACATCGCGGCTTGCTGTTGCACCTCCGGCTCCTCTGCCTAGAATCAAAATATACAATACGCCTAACTCTGGACCCGGAATGTCCGGCCACTGGCCGTCTTCCTTTCCCGCTCCTCGTTTTCTGGCCGGGCTCTGTTGAGGACTATTATCGGTCAGTATCCAGTAACTCAGCAACAGTATTTGTTCCCACTTACCCTGGAGGAAGTCGGCTGTCCTCTTGCGCATACGGGTGTGGATGTATGCCTGTGGAAGTAAGTAAATAGTCCGACACTTGTATTGATAACATGGGACGGTACCTTGGAGGCCTTAATGTGGTAATGGAAGTAATCCCGGAAGATTTGGATGTGGGAGATGTTTTCGTAGCGGCGCTGAGGAGTCAAGTGACGGGGGAAGAGAACTGTATACTGTTAGGACTTGCGACGGTTGGGCAGAAACCGGGTGTATTACCGAAAGTGACGTAGCTGGTCTTGCCATCGCCGCTATCCTTCAGGCCAGGGACACCAGCCAATTCAAGCGGGGGATCGTTCCGGAAAAGGACTTGAGGGGCATTTTGCAGAGTCAAGGCACGACGTCTGGCATCGACAAACTCCTGGAGGAATACCTTGCCGAAGATACGATCTGTCTCTTCACGGAAGACTGTGCTGAAGATCACTGTAACTCGGTCATGGCTGGCTTTGATGTAGATAGCTTCCTCCTCCCGATAGTGGATTGCCATAACTTCTCCTCCCTCCTTAACACCCTGAGGGGCCGCCTCTGTGCTGTATTTTGAAGCTTCTTCCGATAGCTTGGCGAAGTCATCGAAAGCTCTCTCGAACGGGGCAGCCATTGCATTCCGCTTCATCAGCGCAAGTCGCATTATGAGGTCATCTTTAGCTTCCTGTTCCGCTGGGAGGTTCTCCAAATCAATAAGGACCGAGAAGTCATAGCCGGGTTCGGGGGCGACGATGTATGGGCCGTATTCCCTCTCCAGCACCTGTTGGGCACCATATTGGACAAGCTCTCGGAAGCATTTCACGTTGATGGAGATAAGGATCTTAGTCTTAGATTCGGGGGTAGACAGATGGAAGGTAACTCCGTCGAAATCTGAGGCAATCTGGTCGATTGAAACTGGCGGGGCTCTAAAGGCACCAAACAGTAGTCAGTAACGGCTGCATTGCGTATACGGGGCGAGGCGGGGGCAGCTGTACCCTGAGAACCGCTCCGTGAGGAGGGCATGGATGAGAACGTTGTGGTAATCGAGAAGAAGCATGATGGCAGGACCATAAACCGTAGCAAAATATCCAGGGTTTGTCTTGCTCCTTCAGTTGTTTATTTCACCGTGGTAATGCAATGATCGAATCGAATGTCTCTGCCTCAAGCTGGTACTTCGGGGAGTAGTTACGTTGGATGTTTGGGGGGAACGGCAGGCGGTGGGGAATGCGGCCGGTGGTCTCTGTCGCCGCCCGTAGTTTTCTCCGGCCGTTTGAGCCTATCGATAGCAATCGCTCTGGAAGCTCCCAAATTTTTTCTGTACTCGGACATTCAACGATGGTGAAGTCATATCTGTAAGTCTACTCGTCTAAAAGCCCTATATATAACTCCGATTCATTACTGACGTTTCCGATTACAGAAAGTTCGAGCATTCGAAAACTTTCGGGCTCGTAGCCTCCGCTACGTCAAATGCGATTTGGGCCCGCGATGATGAGTTCTCTGGCGCTGCCCGCCAGACGGGCTCCGGACGAGCCATTGTGGGTGCTGGTGAGGAGGTTCTCTGTTGGGATATAAAAAAGGGTGAATTACTTGGGAAATGGCAAGATTCTTCGTGCAAAGCGCAAGTTTCTGTGGTCACCCAAAGCAAGACGGATGAGGATATTTTCGCGGTCGGGTATGTTTCTGGTTTTGAACGAATGGTGTGGGCTATTGTTCTGATTGAAGTTCTTTCTTGCCCTTAGTTACGAAGATGGCAGTATTCGCCTCTGGGATTCAAGGACCGCGACAGTCATGATCTCGTTCAATGGCCACAAATCTGCCATTACCCACCTCGCCTTCGATAGCGCCGGTGTCCGTCTCGCAAGTGGTTCGAAGGATACGGATATTATTCTCTGGGATCTTATTGGAGAAGTCGGGCTATTCAAGCTACGTGGTCATACCGATCAGGCACATCGCTACATTTTCTCGCCCCATCCATGGAGTTACTCAATGCTGCTGGACTGAGTGAGCACGCCGGGTTTCTGTTGACAACTGGCAAAGACTCTCTGATTAAGGTCTGGGATCTTTCGTCGCAACATTGCATTGAAACCCACGTGGCACAATCCAACGGCGAGTGTTGGAGTTTGGGTCTCTCTCCTGACCAGAGTGGTTGTATCACTGCGGGAAATGACGGCGAGCTCAAGGTCTGGTCAATCGATGAAAGCGCTCTGATTGAAATCTCAAAAGAGAAAGTTGGATCGGAGGACCGCAGGATTTTGACGGAAAGGGGCACATTCTACCGTAATGGAAAGGACCGCACCATTGGAGTCCGCTTCCACCCCCAGGCAGATTATATCGGTATTCACGGCTCAGAAAAGGCAGTAGAAATCTGGCGCATCCGCTCAGAGACAGAGGTCCAGAAGGCTATGGTGAGAAAGCGCAAGAGGAGAAAGGAAAAGGAAGCCCAACGTGCAGCTGAGAAGGAGGGCACCGTGGCAGAAGCTGATACTGAGAAACCCGACGATATTTCCTCAGCACCGGTCACCGAGGTCTTCGTTTCCCACACCATCGTTCGAACTGGTGGAAAGGTACGGTCTTTCGATTGGATAAGAACAAAGTCGACCCGCAGCATCCAGTTGGTCGCTGCAACCACTAATAACCAGCTTGAAGCCTACACTGTCAACACCGCGAAGGGAAAGAAGGACGAGGATGACGAAGATTACAGCCGTAACCTGGCAGTCGACATTCCCGGTCATCGCACTGATATTCGTTCCCTCGCTCTGAGCTCCGACGATCGGATGTTGGCATCAGCCTCTAATGGCAGTCTCAAAATTTGGAACGTCCGCACTCAGAGTTGCCTCCGTACCCTAGAATGTGGCTATGCCTTATGCTCGGCCTTCCTCCCTGGAGACAAGATCGTGGTTGTTGGTAATAAAGACGGTCAGCTTGAGGTCTTTGACATTGCGTCCTCGACCCTCCTGGATACGATCAATGCACACGACGGCCCGGTATGGTCACTCCATGTTCACCCTGATGGCAAGTCCGTAGTTAGCGGCAGTGCGGACAAGTCTGCAAAGTTTTGGAACTTCCAGGTCGTCCAGGAAGAGATTCCGGGCACTAAGAGGACTACGCCCCGGCTCAAGCTGGTGCATACTAGGACCCTGAAAGTCTCCGATGACATTCTCAACCTGCGTTTTTCACCCGACGCTCGACTACTTGCAGTTGCTCTCTTGGATAATACGGTCAAGGTGTTCTTTACAGACTCCCTGAAGCTCTTCCTCAACCTCTATGGCCACAAACTTCCTGTTCTCAGCATGGATATTTCGTACGACAGCAAGCTGATTGTCACATGCTCAGCCGATAAGACAGTCCGCCTCTGGGGCTTAGACTTTGGTGATTGTCATAAGGCCTTCCTAGCACACGAAGACAGTATCATGGGCGTTGCCTTTGTTCCACACAACCGGGATGGAAACGGGCATAACTTTTTCAGTGCTAGTAAGGATCGTGTGATCAAGTATTGGGATGGTGATAAGTTTGAGAATATTCAGAAACTGTCCGGCCATCACGGCGAGATCTGGGCACTCACTATCAGCCATACTGGGGAGTTCGTCGTCAGCGCCAGTCACGACAAGAGTATCCGTATCTGGGAGCAAACTGATGAGCCTCTCTTCCTTGAGGAAGAGCGGGAAAAGGAACTCGAAGAGATGTACGACAACAACCTTGTGGATGAGGAAGATGAGGAAGGCGAGAAGGCCGAAGCTGTCGACGCCGGTAAACAGACCAGCGAGACACTCATGGCGGGAGAACGCATCATGGAAGCCCTGGATCTGGGAATAGAGGACCTAGAAGTCGTGCGCGAGTGGCGTGCTATGAAAGCGGTCCAGCCCAACGTTGCGCCCCCAGACCGCAATCCACTATACTTGGCACTGGGCAACATTTCCGCCGAGCAGCATCTTCTCAATGTCGTTCAGAAGATCCCTGCCGCAGCACTCCAGGATGCACTGCTTGTTTTGCCTTTCTCGAAGGTCCCTGCGCTCTTCACCTTCCTGAACATCTGGGCCGACCGCGAGTGGAATATCTCTCTTACTTGCCGCGTCCTCTTCTTCATGCTCAAGACCCACCATCGTCAAATTATCGCTAGCAAGATGATGCGTCCCATGCTGGATAGTATCCGGTCCTCCCTCCGCCGGGTTCTGACACGCCAGAAGGACGAGATGGGATTCAACCTCTCCGCTCTGCAGTACATTGGCAATCAGGTGAAGGAACACGGCACCAAGGACTACGTCGATGAGGAACAGTGGGAGGAACAGCAGCAGACGACAGGAACGGGTAAGAAGCGACAATTTGTCAGTATCGCTTGATCACCGTCGCGTATCTGTCTCCATGCATGACTGGCGTTGTTATGGCTGCTAAAAAAGTTTTATATCCTTGGGAGTTGATGTGGAATACTTTTATCAGGTCGTTTCCTAAATTTCATGTTTATGTATATCATGATAAATATAGACTTGTCTGCATTTATAAAGCAAGCTCAATTGCACTACACATGTACAAACACTGAACATATTGAACAATCCCAACACATAGCCCAAACACCACAGCTTAGACTTTAAAGCTAAAGCGACGAAACCTATACCAAAACACATCAGCACACTGTTCCCAATGCCCTGATATGAAGAATGTAAAACTGGAACAAGACAAAAGCATCTCCAGTCAATCCACAAACCAACAAGTTTAACTCCACTCAGAAGAACCATTATAAGCATCGACGACGAGGATCCCATTGGGTATCCCGTCATACCTCTTCCGGCTCTTCCTAAAAATACCGGTTCTTGAGAAAAATCTTCATCATATAGGAGACTGTTGGTTTGTGGATTGAACTGTTGCTTTTCTTCCCCGCCCTCTAACATTTTGAAGCATTTAGGCCTGATCGGGAGGAACAAATGATTGGGCATATAGAATCATGATGAGAGAAACAAAGCATTATAGCATACCTGTACTATTAGTAAATATATGTTGTTGGGTGTAGAGAGCTTTTCATTATATGGTTGCGAACATCATCAGTTGTTGTGAAGAGAGAGCTCTGGAAGATCCAGGGAAAAAGGAAAATTTGGTTGGTGGGTATAGCTTGTCGGCGAATAGATGGGCCGAGGGTGCAAGTTAGTCACGTCTTAGTCATCAGATCTATATCGATGAGATGGAGGACTTTGAATATTACAACCATCGACTTTCCAACTATTTATAAAATTTCCTTGGTCCGATAAGTTGAATCAGTTTAATATATGCTATGAGAAAATTATGTGAAAATTATAATGTCCATTAAAACAGTCGTATATCGTCATCTTTCGTGAAATCATCAGGAGAGCAGAAGACCAGGCTCAATTAAGTAGTACGAGGGTAGTCCATAGGGTTTTTAAGAGTTGGCCTTCATTGTCCCACAGTTTGAGCATGTCCACCATTCCGCCTCCATGAAAGTCTCGCAGAATTGACAGACCCACCCAAGTGGCCGTTTAGCGGTATTTCTTTCAAGGGCGGCGAGAGTCTCAACGGCATTAGTACGGTTTTTGAAAGTGGGTTGGCCATCCAGGTAGCTTCTCCGGCGCTTATTCTTGTTCTGGGATCCTGAGCTGCTCGGAATCTTGGCAGGTCCAGATACAGAACGTGTATTCGATGGCCGAGGTCGCTCCGCTGTACAGGCATCACAACACAAAAAGCTGGCCGGGTTTTCTAAAGTGCAAGCTGGACACGTCCATGGCGCCTCGAAAAGGCTGTCGTCAATTGTAAGATCTATTGGTTCTGGAGGTTGCGACGGCATTGTAGGCCTAGTGCTCTCGGGAACAAGTGGAGGAGATAAAGTTGAACGGGGCCCAGCTGGGTTCTCATGGCTTGGGGGGACGTAAGAAGGGCCGTATCTCTCCCTCTCTTCTTCCTCAATCAGGTCAATATAAGCCTGCATAATTGCTTGTTCATTTGCGTCGTCTTCCTCAGCCTTCGTCCGGAAGCCATTTCTAGACGCTTCTTCCGCGAGTTCGTTGCTGTTTTCCGCTCCCGACGCACAGCCTGTCGTTACATCTATGCGTCTTTGTGCAGCATCCGCGATAACTCGGCGCATGTCTCTTCCTCGTACCGGAGCACCCCCCAGTCGTTGCCCTGACCCAGCGGACAGTGCCCGTCTCTGCTCTGCGGCCGCTTTGGCTTGTCTCCGGACCTCGTGAAGAGGTATCCTACGGCCACCTAGGCGTTTACCTTCGGAAAGGAATCCCTCCCCAGTATAGCCCTTCATAAGAAGCTCTTCATACTCGTCGCGTAGCTGGTTCCAGAGAGCATGGAACTCTCGGTTATGCGGCCCATGTACTATGTGACAAAGTCTGCAAGTATCAGCAACTAGTTTGCAGCACATATCCAGTTGACTCACTCATGCAGCATCGTATCGACGACTTGTTCGAGCGGGAGGAATTGACGCTCGTCATAAGGGTACCGCAGTCGAAGACATATTTTTTGGCCTTTGTTGATATTAAGCCCAAGGAGGTTTTGCTGATGTGGGTAGAATTCACTGAGCGTCCCTACTTTCCAGGTCCTCCGGCGCATGATAGGTTTGACCAGTGATGCGATCTTTTTGAGCATGGTTAAGGCTTCAGATTCCCTGGGTCGGTGCCTGTCATGTTGATATTCAATGACGAGAGGGTCTATTTCGCGCATGTTGAAAGCTTATAACAAACAGCAGGACAGATAGTATGATTATTGATTAATAGGCTGGTAAATGAGTGAAGGGTGCTGCAGAGCTTATAGCTGCTTCAGATATTTATAATTATTTAGTGGAGCCCAGAACGCAAGACTGATATACGAGCTAAGGAGTTGCACTCTGCCGCAATCCAACAAGGGCGCAGTCACAATTATTAAAGGCCCACGGAACAAGACTCTTGGAGAGGCCGAAGGTGAAAGAAAAAAGCCGCGTCATGAACCTGAGTGGCACTGGTAAAGAATTGATAATCAACAAGAAGATTCAGGCACCAGCCTCACGTGACTACACTATTTCAACCTGCCATGGTTCTATGCGGCGAGAGGGACAAATAGTGCAAGTGACACAGTCCAGGTAGAGAGATTATGTGAACAATATTTGTACAATACATAATCATAGTTGAGGACTAGGTAGGTCAGGCATAGGGACTACTAGGACTAAATTAGATACTCTAGCCATGTCCGGGGCTTGTGAACCAGCTGTACATAGAATGTATCGCCATGAGAAAAGGTAAAAGCATATGAAGCGTTAGATGGATGCTCTAGTGGCGACAGCTATTTCGATACTAAATCCAGCAAGACCATACTGTGTAGTATATAGTAGTAGTACTCTATCCTGTTAGGTTAAAATCAGCCACGGATCTGCACGACGATGGGGCGATATATACCCGTTCATGTGACCTTTCCGATAAGTGAAACTTATCAGTGACAGTAGATTCTTTTTCATCAATCAAAATTGGCTTGAACTACCAGTCTCACAGCTAACTCTCAAAATGACGAGCGACGATCAGTTTTTCTTTGACTATGTAAGCTAGTAGTCTGTCAACATTTGTACAACTATCGCAAACTAACAGACTGCTGCACCTCTAGCTTGCTTCGATACCGCATGACGTAAGGAGATACTCCCTCGAAGTCGCAGACTCGATCGACAGACAGGTTGACCATGCCGCCAAAGTGATACGGGACACGCTCTCTCATCAGTCATGGTTGCCTTCCTCGGTTCGACCCACGCCACCACCTTCGAGAGCTCGTGCTTCCCAGTCTCTCGTTGATCGCGCGCATGACTGGGTTCTTCGTAATCGAGCATGGAGTGCCGCAATCCTAGCATTCGTCGGGACCACTTCGCTTTTGTATCTTGGCAACAAAAAGCTAGGTGGTAGACGGAGGAAAGCTCGGCGAGCTGGAAATGGCGCTCGGAAGGAAATAGTGGGTATGTTGCAGGGACAACTATATTCATTCTGCATTTGTGACAAACCCATCTAATGTCTTGCGATAGTTGTTGCCGGGTCCCCTCACGAACCGATGACGAAGGCGATTGCTACTGATCTCGAACGTCGGGGCTACATCGTATATATTACTGTTTCATCGGCGGATGAGGAGCAGTTAGTTCAGTCGGAAAATCGGATGGATATCAGACCGCTTTGGCTTGATTTAACGGCTGTAAGTCGTCGCATATCCCAGAATCGAAGAAAATCCACTGATCAAATTATAAGACCCCTTCACCGACATCTGACATTCACCCATCATTGACGGAAATTCATTCTTTAATCACCCAACCCCAATGGCCAATGCCTGGAGTGCCGCCGCACACTTGCCAGCTGAGCGGACTTGTTCTCGTACCCTCACCCAACTATGTGACCGGTCCCCTAGCCACAATTCCAGCATCTTCTTGGGCTGATACAATCAATACTCGACTCTTATCGCCCATCTTGACTACTCAGCTGTTTCTTCCTCTTCTTACTGCCCGCAATACCAATAGCACCATTGTCCTAATCTACCCTTCGATATCCTCGTCACTATCTGCTCCGTTTATTAGCCCAGAAGTCACCACAGCACGTGCCTTGTCAGGGTTTGCTACCTCGCTTCGGCGAGAGTTATGTCTTTTGCAACATAGCAACATCGATGTTGTGGAGCTGAAACTTGGAAACATCGACCTTGGTCCTCAGTACCGAAACGCACAGAGTCACATCACTGGAACCGAAGTGCTCACATGGACCACGCAGCAGCGATCCCTCTACGGCTCCCAGTATCTTTCTAGCATTGAACAGCGACCCGTTGCATCTGCGGGACCCAGCATGATACGTGGATCTAATGCTCGGACTCTTCATTACGCCGTGCTGGATGCTCTGGAGCCCGCGTCCAAGGATATCTTTGGAAGGAAGAAATCGAAAGCGCCCGTCATCTATGCTGGGCGCGGTGCATGGTCTTACAGTATCGTGGGCGATTGGGCCCCGAACTTCTTGGTAGGGTGGATGCTGGGCCTGAGAAGTGGCCCTATCACACCAAACCACAGTCCCAGCGGAAGCAGCAGTGAGACGAGCTGGGAAAAAGTTTAAGATCATCGATAGCGCGGCATTATGATTGCTTTGGATACGATTGACTCTCTTCCCTCTTGGCGTTTGAAACCCCATTTATCATTCTCCCCTTCTTTTTCCCTGTATGTCTTTTAACTTATCTAACCGAGTGATGTTCGCATATGCGCCAACTCCGTCCCTAGCAAATACCATAATATATCTATGGACTAAACATTAGGAATTACAACCCATTACCCCACCTTTTACGAGTTAATAACCAGCAATCCTAGACCTCAGTCTCCCGCATCTCAATCGGTCTCTCATGATCAAACTTCGACCGTTTCACCTTACCCCCGGTCAACTTCCTCCTCAACCATATAACACCCCAGGTGATGCCAAAGATAATCACAATCGCCGCAAGAATGATAAAGCAATAAGCCGTGACCTTGCCACTCTTCTCTCCATGTTCACCGGGATCCAAGAACGAATACGTGTAGAATCCCTGAGTGTGGTACGTCAAATAGGCAAGAGAGACGTACAGGAGGAGCAGAAGCACGAGAAACGGGAACGTCATCAGCGGGTGGGGATTAGTAGCCGGGAGGATGATCTCTAGAATGGCGTAGAGGGAGTTGAGGCCGTGTTGGGAGAGCTATTGAATTGGATCAGTTAGTTAATTACTACGCTCGTGCAGCACTGTTGGGCGCTGATAAAGACATGCGACAGTCGCAACCAACACCAAAGGCGACCGGATAACACCTACATTTTGCCACGCATTGAAAGTCACGTCGAACCAAGACGGATTCAGAATCGCCCAGTAAACGATCGTCACGAGGAACGGGAACGTGGTGATGGTCGTATAGTAGAGACTGTGGAGGGCGCGCAGGCCACGGGGCCAGCGATCGAAGAGCACCGAGCGACCGGTCAGCGCATAGAGGGTGGTATGGATGCATGCGAAAATGTGGTAGAAGCCCAGACCCCAGTATGTCAGCCAGGTGAAGTAGCTGAAGGATTGGCCGATAGCTGCGCGGTCGCCATGGGTGCCGTTCCAGCCCCAGATGAAGAAGATGGTCACGAAGATGTAGAGGGCGATCGCACCGCGAAAAATGGCGTAGGCTAGTGGTGGGAGGAGCCAGGATGTTTCGAAGCAGTGTTGACTGTCAAGGGATGGGTCTGCGCCCATAAGGTTGGTGAAGGGGGGAAGCTTGCGCATTTTTGTGGTGGTTTTCTCCATGTGCGTGTTTCCTCCTTTGTGGTCTGCTGCAGTTATTATAAGAAAGAAGAGTGCTTTGTTTAGTGAATCATATTTTGGGGGGGGGGGGGGGCTAAAATCGGGCAAGAAAAAGTGAGCGATAGGATCTCAGCCACGATATAAAATGTACACAGCAAATCAGCCCCGTCAGGGATCAGCCCGTGAAGGAATTTTGGTGCGGCCACTTGGCTTTCGACCTTGTCTTTATCGGGGAGCTAGTGTTGATGCTACCTTGGGGCGCACGTCTTGATTCTCCATAACCATGGACCTTAGTAGGGTTAGTCCGCTTGCAATGCAACGGTCAGGCTCATGGGTTAGTCAAGAAAAGGATCAAAAAGTGGCCGGACAGTGGACGGATTCCGTTAGTAGCTAGAAGAGATTTTCGGAGGATTTCACCACATCCAAAAGGCATGCATGCCACCTTAATATGCAGTGCAGATGGATAGATTAAGTCCCAAACAATAGTGAGCTTTGAGCGGGGAAAGAAGTGGTGTCATCACTCAGCATTGCTGCGTCGGTGCCTGTTATATCTCACCATCTTAAGAATGCCAAGATATGCTAGTATGTCCATCATTCTCCCTATGAGGTAATGAAGGTCGCATGCACAGAGCTACCGCTGCGTCCCACTTATCTTCCGCTTGACATAGGGAGGAAGTGTAAGTGCTAAGACCATAGCAACCTGCAACCGAGAGGTGTAAGTACATAGCAGGAAGCAATTAACCCTCAATTGAAACCAGACCGAGTCAATGTTTTACTGGGGTGGTGTAGAAGCCAGGAGCCAGGACATTTTATGGATTCGAGTGGTTCCTGACGGGATACTTGTTAATAATAATAACACTAATAAACCAAATCCACTCGACCACGCCAATCACAGCGCCCTCTGCGGGTGTTCATGCACCTAGAGTGTTAGACCATCGTACGTGCAACCGTCCCTTGTATACGCAATGTTGTACTTATTTTCGGACCACAAGATCAATAGAGTAATCTTTCCGGCAGTAAAAGAGGAGGGGAAAGAGGAGGAGCAGTAGTAACTTCTCTCCATATAACTAAGCAGAGGAGAGGATCGAAATTGGGACCGTCATTCTTCATCATCATCATGAAACTTTCTCTGTGATTCGGGGTGGTCTCTTCCCACTTTCCCTCTGGAGGTTAGGGGTGATCGGATCATGAGACAGGGGGGACGCCTGAGAAAAAAGGCACAGTGCCATTATACTCAGATGGACGATGCGCAGCAAAGTAAGATTCGACTCCTTACTGCATGTTGTCATACTTGCTGCTATTCTAGGTTCACCTCCAGATTATCTTAATCTGTGTCGAGGGGAAGAGCATCATAACAAGTCAGATCACAACCATTGTCATCAAGGGCACTTAGTCATGAGAATTCCATGGTGTGGTCGAAAGTGGGTTGGGATTCCCCA